GTTCTGGCATTAAGAAGCTTATGCCATTTACAATTGTTTTATCGTTTATATCGCCTTACGGTATCGACAAAGTGAAAAATATTCAAAGATTTATTTCCTAACCAAGGTCTATTAGGCAGGTACCTTAAACTGACGATTGCATAGAAATTTATCTGTCGCCAAGATATCGGTACCGAGGAAGGAATTAATTCGCGAGGATCATGATTTCGTTTCTCAGCTTCTTAGCATTTTTACTTGGCGAGTATTCGAGCAGCGTACACAGACGAACCGCAATATCCATTTCACGATGCCATGACGGTCTGTAGGTTTTCGTGAAACGATATCCAAGACCGTGAACGGTTGGGGAATCCGATACCGAGCTTCGTAACATTTTCCAGCACCGCATGTCGGCGTTTTCCGACCGCGCATCGGCCGATTCTTTCTTCCTGGTGTTTCAGCCGAGCGAAACTGTCCCATTGTACCTTGCTCTGAAAAGCTTCTATGAAAATTACGTAATTTTCTACTGGCTGCTATCCGCGTCGCTTCACAGCCTTTCTTTTTAATCTTCCGCGGATATTTAATCCTCGAAATCGGTACGTACATCGCTCCACGGCGCAGGATATGATTAACGCGTTCTCGATATCTGATAGGAAATTCATTCGTCATAAATCGTTTTAATTCCCCCGATTTCTTCCGTACAGCACACGCGTAACAACGCGAGAACAATCCTGCTGGAGGTTCGAAAACGATCATTCAAAACGTCGAAAACGCGAACTTAATATATATCTCGAGCTAGCGGTGTTGCAATGTCTTTGCGGTACTTCGTAGCAGAAAATTATTATCGCGGAAAGAAAATTTAATTTACCGCCGTGGAAGCTCGGCAAACTGAAATCCTTCTGAAATAACAACAGACCAAGGTGTAATTTCTCAGGAGGAAGTAAATCGAAAGCTCTCCCGCGTTTCAATCAAGAAACGTTCTTTCGTGATTCTTTGGTTTTCGGAATTTAAATAGGTAGACTCGCGTTATATTACCGGTAAAAGCGGAAACCTCTTTGAATGCCGACAACGTTTGTATCGGCTAAACGCCTGGGAACGCAATACGCTGCGGCACAACGCGTTACGACAACAATGTACAAAATGCAACGCATGGGAATACAACGCGTGACGATATCACCGTGTTACCATAACTATTCGGACGATTTGTCATCAAATTTTACGCCGTCATTATTTCGACATTGTGCGACACAAACAAGATATAATAAAATCTTGCTTTTATCACCGTGACGCGTGTGTCTTTTGCTCGAGTACGGACAAAGGGAAATTGAAATACGTCAGGTCACAGCAAATGCAGGCATATGTGTTTACGCGTATACAATAGGTAGTCGCTCATTAACCTAGGTGAAGTAGATCGCTACCAAATCGATACGGGTTCACTGTTATCCGCTTAATGTACACAAATTTCCTGATCCCCTCAGCTGGTCTGTTCATCAAAGCGAAACTCTTGTTTTCCAAGTATTTCCTGACTGGCTCTCAAATATAATTGTTTCGACAACCGATATAAATGATAATCGAGGACAAGCAACGCAGCAATATTGGCTGTCGCGGAAATTTGTAGCTCCCGCGAATATCTCTCGGAGCGGGTCGTTTCCGATATTAATTAAGATTCGTATTAAGGCTGTCTCGACGCGTCGGATATTGCTTCCTTAATACACATTCTAGATATCTTTGCGCGATTCGCTCATACCTCTCTTTACGCGTAATTGCCGCTGGCTACCTTCCGTATTGTTTTAAGGAATATCGTGATACTTGAGAACCAACGAAGATACCTCCGTCATAGAAGAAAATCTGTTCAGAGACACGGTAGCGCAATTATCGTTTCGATGGAGTATATTAGAATGCGGATGAAGGTGATTAAGCGGCATTTAGAAGTACAAACGGAATTCGCGTGCAGCGGTATGGAGCGAGGTTAGTTTGTTATCGGATAGTAGTTGATTGGCTAATGAAGCGCAATCGGGCAATTGATCCCTCTTAATCCGATTATCGAGTCGCTAGACGATTTTATTGGCGACGCCAGGTTATCGGAGGTACCGAGGGGCAAAAATCGCATGATCGGTCGACGATTCTCGCTTCTTGCTCCGGTTCTTTGAAAACAAATCGATCGTGGAGAGGAAAGCTGGATCGTTCATCGGCGCTAGTACGATTGCGTGTCCGCCTGGCCATCGCGTCGCCTGCCGTGCAAATATTTGCAAACGCGTCGAATTGAAAACCATTCTTCTGTATTTTACTCTACTCTCGTGTTTTCTCGTGATTCCCCGTGTTTCGCGATGTACGCCACTCGCTCTGTTGTTTCTTGTCGCGAATCGAATCGATGTTCGCGTTTCTTTATTTCATTTATCCATATTCTTCGCCAGAATATATTGTTCGTACGTTTGTAAAAACACGGATATACAAACAACGATAATTTACACTATCAAATGGCTCGAGTGTGCTGCAAAAATTTCCCCGCAAATCGGTTATTTAACCTGCAATGAAAATCTACAATTCGCTGATTTTCAACATGCCACTTATAAAAACTGATTTTCACGCGAACCATTTGTGAATGTACATTCGACGTTCAAACAGCGTACTGCGAAAGATTTAAGAAAAAGAGTACAAGTGTAACGTATCTTTCCGGATAACTGATAACCCGTTTGAGAATTCTTGTTCGTTTTGTATCCGGCAGCGACAAAACACAACTATTCAAAAAATTTTCCGCAACTATTTTTGTTGATACTCGACAGACGTTTTACGATTTTGCGGATCATTCGTTTTCGGGAAACCGTGCGGAAAACGAACGATCGAGCGAGCGAGAAACATTTTGCAGCGTTTTGTTTTTTCATGATTCCGGGGGTGAACGTGGAATTTGCGGTTTGATAAACGCAAGGCTACCATGACGGTACGTTGGACCAGGAACTTCCTCTTTCCGACCATAGTCGAACGATTTGCTATACTCGAAACGTGCTCCAAACCACGTTCACTTTTTGGTTCACCGTTTGCGGTTTCCTTTACCTTTCGGTGCCAGATCCAAATTGACCCATCGGAATCGAAGCTCTTCTTTTTTTTTCGTCGGACACGCATTCGTTTTGCTCGACTCCACGCTGTGTAACGCCACCCGTACCGTAAGGTACATGTTCTAACTCTCAAACGTTGTAATTTAACGCGTCGTAGTTTCATAATTCGAATTAATTTGTCTGAATTCCACGAATCGTCGATTCTACTCGCGCTCGACTACAGGTACCGTAATACCACGCCTCGTGATTCTACGCGTTCTAACTCCACACGCTGCAACCCCACGCACCGTAACTCGACGCGTCGTAAATTCGGAAGCTTACGTATGTGACAAAAACTTGGAGAAAATGCAAAGCGAAGAGATACGAGTTTAGTTGACCCAATTTGTTGACCCGCGAACGACCGCCTCGTCGTAGGGTTCGCCACTTTTATCCGTTTCGGTGCAAAGTAACGAAAAGCTGTTTGCTGCTACAAACGAGACAACAGACCCTCCGGTTCTCTAGGAACACTTTAACCGTAATCCCCTTTGAAACGACAGCCAACGGAACACGCTAGGTTTTAAGGGTGCAATGTTGACTTAAAAAATGCAAATTTATTCTTTTCGTCGGAGGACAATGGAGAATATTTTCGGGTCAAACGGGTATCCGGATAATCCTGCTTCGCCGTTGCTCACCGTTGCTAGTTTACAGCGTTAACGAAGGGTCCTCGGTGACACGAGAGACTGATAACGAGGTCGTTGTTCACGAAACTCTGACGATGTCCAAGTATCTCCTAAAAATACTGCTGTAAAAACGACCTGTTTCCACTTTCTGTCTTAACCACGATTACTTCTACGATACGCAAATATATTGTTCGTACAGGATGTCGAAAAATAAATTCCGGAAGGAGAAAACATTGTCATCGGGTAGGAGAGAAAAGAGGCAAGACCGTAGAGGCAGAAGAAGGAAGGGTCGGAGACACGAGTGGTTTTCACCCTTAGACGTGTCAACTACGAGACCGCCCCGATAATTATCTAGAACGGGCGAGGGTTGAACAGCAAGTCGGTTCGTTAAATCCAACGTATGCGGCTGTAGAAGAGGAGGTCGACGTTGCACGTGCACCGTCGTCTCTCGTGGGTGTGTAGCCAAGTCGCAAGGAGAGCTCGCTACCCTCTTTGGCGAGCGAATTACGCGCCCCATGCAGGCCTCTTTATGTTTACGCAGAGGGCAGCCGCCGACAATGCGGGAAACCGAGCGGAAAGAGGACTCGCGCGTCACCAGTTTTCCCTCTTCGCTGCAAAAATACGCACCTGCCGAAAGTAACTCGCCGAAGACAAAAGTGTTTGTTCGCGAAATTGTTGTACCATCCGATATACGTGACACGACACGAGACTTTGTTTCGAGTCTCCTATGTACTTTCGTATTCCATTCAGTCGGCAAGTAAACATGTGACCAGTCGAATGCAACGTACCTACCCTGTTATGAATAGCTGGAAAACCGTAACGGCGTAATTATGCGTGGACCGGCAACGAGAGAACAAAACGCCTACGAATACGAGGAAAGTTACGTGCCGTACAACTTTTGATAGCACCGAGACCGCACAAATCATCGTTAAATATGGATTACGTTTGCTCGAGAGAACAATAATTCCTAACTGTACGGTTTAAAATGCATCCTACCAGCGTTTCCGTGGAACGTTTATTGCGGAACAATAACTTTTGTATCGCAGCCTCGAGTTTTTCATTCGCTCATCGAATGACAAGTTGGGAAAGCCGATTTAACAAACGAAAACAAAAAACATTTCTATTGTTGTCCGAATCAAGCGCTCGACGCGCTGATCCAGAAACATGTGACGTCACTCTACCCCGTTCAATCGGTAACAACGTCGAATCGCCAGTGGTTTCGGGAAGTTTGTAAACTTACCGCGTAAAATATCGATGTCAGGTTTTAATCCGAATCGAAACAAATAACATCAAGATCTATGAGACGACTTACCGGAGGCGACAGCCAAGGAGATCAGCAAACAAACGATCGAAGCGAAGAAAACACCGCGTTGATCCATACTTGCGTTGGTCGAGGATGCACCCCCTGGCACGCTCGAGCTCGTTCACTTCATTCTTCGCTGCGAAGTAAACTGTTTCGAACAGAGAGAAATATCCGTGCACACGTGAACGATAACGGGGAATACCGCGAACACTCGACGACAAAACTCGTTGACGCAATCGTAACGGCGTGACGGTCGAACGCGTACTGACAGTCTGACAGGTCTCCGTGGGTCTCGCGTGCTCCCACCACCTCTCACCCCCGCCTCGACCAATCGCCTTCTTCCTCCCTCTGTTTCTCTCTTTCCCTATAGCTTTCTCACCCTCCCGCCTATAGCGCGTTCTCTCCTTTCGGACCAGACGGACAAACTTATTTAAAGGGTTACGCCACCGAAAATGCCCCTGCAACTTCCGATGTTTCTTTCGATCGAGTAATAAGATAAACCAGAAACGCCTTTCCGTGTTTACGCGTTCCGACAAGATTGTCGTCCGATCGTACGGAAATAAAATGGAGCCATTTTCTGCCACGAATCGAAGTAATTTAAGGTTCGAGGAAGATGATCGTATTCGCGATCGTTCGAAACGAGGGATTGATAAAGAGATTCGTCGTGCTATAAATCGTTGAATTCCTCTTAAAGTCTACTACGATATTGATCGAGGATGAAATCGATAATTATCGGGCAATTTTGTCCTGAAAGAAATTTTTAAAATACGTATTTGAAAGGCTATTTATCGCGATATTACCTGAAACGAAATATTATTCTTTGAAGTAAAAATGACGCCCGTTTAAACTACCGTGATTTATCTCGTCACCGTCGACGGTACCATTTTCTAGCGTAATACAGAACGTTAAAAATTAAGAAGTAATTAACTGTAATTATTAACGGGCGAGTTTCGCGCTTCGAAATTACTGGCCGCTATTAAATTAAAGAAACTTTGTTCAACTAGCTCGTATCCGTGTTTCGTGGAATTTTATGAGCGGTACAGTTGGAACAAGAGTCGAAATTCATCCTATTACGACGCAGCCGACGATTTTATCCGAAAGACGTCTGAACCGATATAATCAAATCCCTTGCAAAATTTCATCGTTTATCGTATTCGATATCGTTATAGCGATATTTTTTTACCGTTACTTGAAGCTTTCTTTAATATTCTTTTCGCCGTGTCTCACGATTATTCGATTAATATCGTAACGACGGTGGCAACCTCAAAGCACTCAACGCGTTAAACGGTAATTTGTGGCGAGTAAAATATGCTTTTCAGTTGTGGCCTGGTTTTTATCGGGGTTACCGCGATAAAAAGAAAGAGGGAGAAGATGGAGGGAGGATAATAGCCCAGAAATTCCAATTCGACGTAGCATTTCTACGAAAACTTTGACCATAAATTGTAACCCAGGTACGAGAAGGAGATTCGACAAGAAACGGAAATCTGAACTAATATCGAAGTGACGGGTGGGCCCGTTATATTCAGAATGGTGCTACAGAAAAAACGAAATGAAAGAGCAGATTGATGGAGAGCGGCGAACAAGACAGACAGGTAGCTCATACGCCTGTAGGAAATAAAAGAACCGGGAAATCTTCTAGCGTAATATATTTCGTGGACGACAAAGGAAACAACATTGATTTATTGTTTCTACGAACGACACGGAGAAAGCCCCAAGATCGGAGAATACGAAATGGAATACACGCTCGCTCGACGAAAGATTTAACTGAAAATTAAAGAGAGCAAAACGAATCTCCGGTTCTCGAATTTTGCGTTGTTTCTATATTATTTATATCGCGTGGCAACGTGTTGAATGTCGATACGTTTACGCAGTGAAAACGACACGTTCTGTGTCGATATGCAACGTGCACTTTCAACTCGAAATGAACATTCGACACGCGTATCTGTCAAAAACGTTCGGTTGCAAGATGGAACGTTCGTCGATGCGTAATTGAAGATGCGCGCGGATAAATATAGCGGATGGCGAAACAATGTCAGGGGTGTAACAAAATCGGTGGCAACTATTATAATGCGGTCGCGATAATGGTCGAACAATGGACGACGAATTTCAATAAATTTTATTTGCGCGACACGCGACCGGAGTGGGACAGTTATGATACGATTATACAGCGATTAAAAGAGTATCAATCTTCGTGCGCGGAATTAATCGATTATCCGTTATTGTTGGATGCGAGCAAATTAATTTAATCCAACCGCGTGATTCGAATGAAAGATATTTGTAGTTGCCTTTGTCGAACTTTCGATCCTACGTTAACTAATTGCAACTTATCCGTTTTATTAAAACCCCTTGAATAATTACTTTGAAAAGTTTCGAAAAAAATTACGATACGACTACCGATGAGTAAAAATCGATACCGATCGATGAATCGACAGTATAATACGAAATACGTAGAATAACGAGAACGTCATATTGTTCGCTGACGAACCTCCATGTTCAGGAATTACCGAGCGAAGCTATACGTACCGGGGACGAATTCGTTTCTACTCGGAGCACGTTGCGCCACCGCAGAACAACCGCCAAACCAAAAGCATCCACCAATTATCGCCACGACTGTTATTATTGCGCCACCATGAAGTCAAGTACATCGACGAACCCGTTCGGTATTGCGCGGTGACCGTGTTCCGCGATTCAATTTAATTAATACAGCCATCATTAGCGTGTCATTAGCAACCGGTTGCTTCCCACCTTCTAATTGTCTGTCTACGTGTACGGTGTAATTTACTGTCCGACATAGCGTCGACTAATACTACTGGCTGGCTATTGTAAGACTACCGTATACTCTTCGATTCAGAATACGGAACTCGAACGCTATTCGACGTCTGATTTCCAAACGGAGGCTTCAGATCCGAACTTATTCGCGAATAATACGCGAGTAACTCGCGGAAATAAAATATTCGGAGCGAAGTATATTATCGGATACGGAATGGTAAAAGTGTATTGACCATAGCAGTGGCAGAGGAACCCGGTGGAAAGTTTTCTATTTAGTTCGAAAGCCTCGAGTCGAGAACGCTCCTTCCGGTTTCGTGGCTTCTTTGCATTTAATGAGGATCCGCTGAATATTCAGACACACCGCGACTCGCACTTTCGTACACACGTCGAGGGATTTCCGTTTTAAAAACCCTTAATTACCGTCGTTTTCGTGGAACAACAGGACGAAAGAATAATAAATCCTGACGAGTAACTTTCAACCGAATGATAAACGAGTTTCATCTCCTTGCGCGGTGTCTTTTCCCTCAGCTCCGTGCGTCCCGTTTTCTCTTTTGTTTCTCTTAAAGGAAAAAAAACACAAGGGCTCGGATACATCGTTTACTTTCCAGTTTTACGCTGGTGGCGGATATATTCGTCCCTGGTGTAACGGCGAACACGTTCCGAAAGTTGGACGGATCGTCTAGACATAGGGTCGGAATAAGCCGGAAGTTGTGGATAGCGGGGTTGCCGCGATAGGCGAAGTTACGTAGCAGCCAAGTAACTTCGTCCTGTCCTGGCCACCTCGTTTAATACACACGGACACACCCTGTGTGTGCTCATGTATAATTAGTTTCCTCCGATCCGCTTCTTTCACCTGTTTCAACCTAAATAACTGTGTAACTCGAACTCGTTTAGAACACAACTTCTATATTTATACCTTCAGTGGCCTTTTGCTCCGTGTTCGTTTATGCTTTACCGAGTAATTACGCGAAATCATCGTTAAACGCTCGAACTTGTAATTTGGAACCCGACTGTATTACGAACATCGCAATTTTGTCGAAATTTCGTCTCCTATAACGACGTCCAAACTTTTTGCGCGAACTCTCGGCTAATTTCCAAGGAATCGTAAAGAAGAAAGCGGAAAGAGAAAAGAATACGTAGACACCGTAAAGATATCACCCAACAAAGCGACTTTCATGAGAAATGCACGCATTGTCCTGCACGATGCAGAATTGGAGCAATTCCGTAAGAAACTAGAGGAGGGTTCGCAAAGTTTAGCCGGCAACGTAATAACAATTAGGGTGTATCGGTATCGGGTGGAACGGGCGCAACGAGAATCGAAACCGGTAATAAAAAGAAAAGTATCGGTGTAAGGATTGCATTCGTACTCTCCTTAAACGCGTTAACGTGGTCCAACGATGCGTTAAATGGAGCAGACGAGAATGTAGGTAGGAGGAAACACGGATGGAACAAAGAAGGATCTCGCTTACCGAACTTGCTCCGTCTTACCGGGTCGGCTAACTTCCGGTTACTCTACCTTCTACTAACGACCCATCTAACTTCGGGGATGCTCAAAGAGTGGACCAGAAACGTCTGTCGCAATTCTGGCGACGATGCAATTACTGGGGCGCACTTCGCCTCGTGCAACTAGCAATTTCCAGTGATGGTGTTAACGAGACCCCTTGAAACGCTGCATGTACGGGAATCTTAATGAAGCAATGTTTCGCTTTGTTGTTTGCCGTTAAAAGTGTGTAATTTCACGTAATAATTCTGTACGCGACGACAAAATTAGTGGTGCCAAAGATCGCTGCTGTTTCGATCGTATCTTCGTTGCTTAATCCTTTCATAAGATTGTGTCGTTAAAATTCGCTCGAGTAGCGTCAACTTTTCGATCTCGAGTATCGTCTAAGAAGATTCGAAAGTTCGAGAACAGAGTGGTAATAAAATAGTCTGAATCGGGCGAGGAAGTTTTTCGTCGCGTCCCGCATCGGGCACGCGATAAATAAACGAGGCGAAGGAGAATGCCTCGAGAGGTGGATAAAAGGCAAGCAGGGCAAGATGGATGGAAGAAAGGAAGGAAGGAACGAGGGTCGATTTAAAAGGCTCGATCCCAGGGTGGACAGGAGGCGGGAAAGTCGAGTCTCCGGAGCGTTTGCGGACGTTTCGAGCCATTAGATGAGGCGCTGCAATTAACACCGTCGACCATCGACGCCCGTAAAGTCCATTACCGAACCTTTCTTCTTTCCACCCTTCTGTTTTTCCACGCCAACTGTCCGGCAAATCGTCCGGTTCTCGACTATGGCTGCTGCCTCGGCTAAAATACCACGATTCGCGATGCCACATCGATCGGTATCGATTCGAACGACGCGCAAATTCGGAACACGGAAACGTGCAAGAGAGGAAGCAGTTTCTTACGTCTAACGATTGTTTAAGCAAGAAATTCTCGATCGCGAAAAACTGCTAACGAATTTCGTCGATCAGCCAAGATCAAAGGAACAGTCTTTTTCTTCGTCGTTCGGAGGAAGTCGAGCAATAAGCCTGATCGTGTCGCGAGATTGCCAAGGAAGATTTCGATGGTTACAGCAGGCCAAGAAGAGGCGAAGAGGTAGGAGGCAGAATGAAAAGAGGAGGAAGAGGAAAAAAGGTGATAAAAGTGGTTAAGCAAAAAATAGAAGAGAACGGCCGCGTCTCGCGTTCCTTTTCTTCCTGACTGTCCCGTTCTCTTTCGACTTCCCGCCCTAGCATGAATATCTTTAATGTCCCATGATACATCGCTCCTTTCATATATACCACTCCCTCCATGTCCCTCGGGGACGTCTCTCCCTTCCGGTTATGTCGTATAATACGATACCGAAACGATTGATTCGCCGCTTATCGAAGAAAATTATTAACAGCCTATACCTACTTACGAGCGACGCGACTCGTGATGACAATGCTCGACGACATAAAGCTATGAAGCTTATAAACGTTATAAAGCTTATCGCTTTGTAGCTCTTCTGTGATAGCGTCCAGACAATTTAACGTGTTAAACTTATATGTATACACGGTGAATTTTATGAATAAACTTACATATATATTCGTTCAAACGCGCCATGTATGCACCAGCAGCAAAAAAGAGCTCGCGAATTGTCGATAAAAACAAATTTTCGGAATAATGCATCAATTTCCGTATGTTAACTGTGTTATCAGTTTGACACAGGAAAACTTTTACTCGTAAAGTTCGTTGTTTCCCCCATTTTTACGTCGAGCTATTCACGACCGATAAAAATGCATCGAACGGAGAAAAAAGCACATCTCGTTGATAAAAAACAATCGTATAACCTTGTTGTTCAATATTTTCAGATGCTTATCTGTCGTGAATACGCGTTCATGGCGATGTTTATCGTTTTCAAATTTCCGCAAGATTCATGAACGCGGAACGCGAAACAAATCCACGGCTTGGAAGCGGGAAAAAATAGACTTATTTTTCAGAGAGAAACAGATGTTTACAGCAAATATGTTCCAGAAAAATGCACCGATATTAATTCCACTCTGGGAGTCAGATTCAAAGGTGTAATTTTCACTTGGTCTTATTTTCTCGGCGTGTCTTGATTAAAATTCATCAAAAACAGACTGGAACACGTTGCTGATTTCTCTCGAGTCCTCGTTTTATTTCTTTCTCTTCTTCTCCATTTTTTCCGCGCTCTCCTTCGTCATTTTCTCTTTTCCACCGGCTGTTCAATAGTCTACGTAGGTCGATTTAAGATAAAACATCGAACGTCGATTTTAGCTGACACGATAGTTTCGTTAGGGACCAATCTCGTTAGGCGTCGCAGAAAGATCAGGCGAGGATCGCGTTTGGCTGAACATGAAAAGTTAGTAGAAACAATGAAGCGAAACTGAAGGTGTGTCGTGGCATTGTGTAGCGACGTGTTATATCGTAGGACGCGGATGAAAGGTGCTCGATCCGTCACAAAGCTCTTTAAATTAGCTGTTAACCGGAAAACGGTCGGTGTTGAATCCGTCAAGAAGACGCAAAGTTAAGGCGCGAACACGTAAAATTCCAGGGGAAAACGTTGACGCGACGCACAATACGGGATCCTGTTAAACGCAGTAGGTGTATTTTGAAAAGCTGTCAGCTACGAGTGATCGAGTAGTTGAAGCGACCAGTTCGGTGTCAGCTGCAGGTGTCTCGTTAATTGTCCTTCAGCTGTACTCCATCCTTGCCTCGCTCGATGACGTTTCACCCGTTTAAATCGATGTTCCGTGTTTCCAATTAGAAGACGACGCGAAACCAGAACAATCTCGCGCAACCCGCAAAAGTATTCCGAAGGCGATCGATAATTTCGAAAGAATCTGTAAGCATCACGGGGTTTGCCAACTATTTCAATCCGAGATCGATTCTGGAAGAGTTCGCTGCGTTTTCCTATGAACATTGGCTAGCGGAGGAAGATTCGTTCGCTATGCTCGCGTAAATGATTGCGGACGAAACAGGTTACGTGGACGAAAATTACGGGAAACGAACTATGATAAAATAATTACGAATGTGCATTGGGACATTCAGGGATGCTTACGGCACTGCACTGATTTAATTCTACGAAACTGTTCGGTGGCGTACACTCGAGCGAATGCGACCCGTATACACCTGCTACAGGAGTAGTATACACGTTGCACCGTTTAATATAGAAACTGACATATTCGTAAGGTGTAGCGTTGCAGATGAAATTCCATACGGCTACACGGCAACGAATGTTATAAATCAAAGCAACCCTATGCGCGCGTACAGATTTTCTCCCATTCTATTTAATTTTTGTTTTTTGATTACTCGGTATTCGAATCATACAATACCGTTCGATGTATGGCTTCACTCATCTTTTTTTACATTCACATGCTCGGATGAATGTTCTCACGTGCGCAACAATTTTACACGTTTTGAGGCTCTGTACTGAATTTAATTGCTACCAACAACTGCTGTATGCTCCGCATTTTACTCATTGAATTTTTGTAATATTTACAATATCAAATTAAATTCATTCACCGTCAATATAACTCATGCATGTGTATTTCATTCAAATAATACCTCGGTCTCTCAATTTTCAATATTTAACATTCTATCGAACAAACAACGGAATAACATTAATAAACATTAATAATGGGTGTATGTATGAATTTAGAAAAATTTTTTCATATTCTCTTCAATTATACATTTACGCGCTCGCGCTTTGAAAATTTAAACAGTAAATGTTCGAAAAAGAGGGATTGAGGAGAGCGTTTCTTTCAGGGCCTAAGCTACAGGATTCGTAAGTATGGTAATGCTATAATGACATGAACAAGAACGATAAATATTAATTATTTAATTATTTATCTAGTGGACCTACATATTACTCTACACCTAAAGTTAGAAAAATTGAAAATACAGGTGGCGCCGTCTAACGATAAAGCGTCTAAGATATTAAGATAAGAGTTCCACCCCTCGCTGCTAGATGGCTATGCATGTTTAGATCCATAAAATGCAATTTTCTTAATTTTTTAATTTAATTAAAAACAGACTTTGTCGTGCCCGTGGAGCATCTCACAATCGTAAGGTACTAAAGGTCCTCAATTTTTCTTCCTTATTCAACAATTTCCGCCATCCATCGGCAAGTGAATCTTTTCAATTCTTTAGCGGGAAATTTGAATGCAAGTAAAATGGCACTTGGAGTGGTAAATTTCTAAAATTCCGGTACAACAATTTGATAATAACAAATAACCCAAAAATGGCGTGATAATAATCGTTTATTATAAATAACTATTAACACGTACTCCTGCCACGTACAATCGTCTTTACGTGTTTTTTCTTTCGCTTCGTTCATTGCTTAGGAATCCATGCAATAGTATACGTTACATTGGAGTTTCTTTTAGTTATTCTGTTTTACTTCGGAATTACAAACATTTACTTGTAATGCAGTATTAATTACTCGTGAGTTGACGATTATTTACAGAAGAAAGAAACGATCATCGATCACTCGGCGGCGCAAATTCGACCCAGTGATTTTTACAGCTAAACCGTGTAATTAATTCGCTGATAGAGAACGGGGGACAGAAGAGGAGGTGGTTGGGGACAAATACTAATTATACGAACAGGAATCGAAACACGAATCGCGGTACTTAAGTCCACGACGCTTTCGTGGATATCGCTGCGTATTCGATAATGCCATAGTTGTCGGTTTTATGTTAATTACCCACATCAAATGCAACGGTGTTTCGGATTATCCGAATTGTTCATAGACTTGTTCTTTCCGATATGAACAAACTTGTCCAAGATAATCGAGTACAATCCTTTTTTTTTATTTTTACTTTTCCTTTCGTTTAAGGTCGACAATAAAAAAAGAAGAATGCTTCTCGTCGTCGAAATGAAAAATCTGTGTTGGTGTAATTGAAGGCTAACTCGCGTTTGATCTTCGATGAAGTAGTTGAACGAAATTTGATTCGGTATTTAAAGAAAGATACGCTTTCGAGCCGCGAACAGTCGTCATACATGTTATTTCTTGTAAAAAATACAATGCAAGACCGTAATGGATACAGGCACGATAAATATTAAATCACACACTGCGCACGCGCGTATCAATTGCATAGCTGGCATCGATTTTTAATTCGTTTTTCGTTTTTCTATTAGCAATGCGACACTGAGCTAAACGGCCGAAACGATTCGCACGGAATAAGAAAAAAAAGAAACACGCACACACGCACGCAACTGATAGCATCAGCAACAATAACAATAATAACGATTGAAATCAATGTGAATCGCAAGTTATGCTTTTTGATCCGGAGAAACAATTCGAATAATGTTGATCGATCTTTTGTTCGTACGGATTTCGTATCGTTGTGCCAGATTGCTTTAGAAATCGTGGCGTCGTTTTAAGTCAGCCGCATTGCTGGTAAACGGGGGCGTACCGGCTACGTAAACGAGAAGAACACGTATAATAAATATCGAATAACAGTTGTTTCTTACAATAATACGAAGTAGTAGAATGCAGCATACATATAGCATATGCAGTAGCCATAGAAAATACGTGCTACGTACGAGTTTTTTCACGTTCATACTAAGTTTTTAATCGTTCGCTATCTCTCACATCGCTACTTTCAAATTCAATCTTACAGCTTGTTCAAGCATTCGATCATACCTTGAATTCTTTATCTATGTTTACACGTTTCTTTCGTTTCATCGTCTCTTTGTTCTTTCCTTTTTTTTTTGTTTTTATGTTTTTTTTTTTACTGAGTTCCTTTATCACACACATCACACGCACCACGTGCACACACATCACGTTTATTCTTCTATTCATTCTTACAAATTCTCCCGTATCTGGTCATGTGTTCAACGAAAACGACAGCTATCTTTCGCTCGACTTTAATTCATCATCCGTCAATCAACTGAAAATTCGAACCATATACTAGGATCTCCTATCTCCGCCTTCGGTCGTAGTCCGTTATTTTGTCCGTCATAACACAAACAATATAGACTTTTCAAAATGGCCAACAATGTCTATTAACATCCTTTTGCTATTCACACACTTTTGAAACCATCTTCTCCATCTCAACGTCCGTGTCGATATCGTGGTGTACGTGATTACTACCACCGGCGTTGCTGATGGAAACAGAAGGATTACTTATCGTAGTAGAAACCGTGCTGGTCGGAGGAACCGTCGACGTTGGTGGCGTGCTTGGTGTGCCAGGAGTACCAGATAACTCGATAGGCGAACCTGGGGATGCAAGTGGTTCCACTAAGTCTTCTAAACCTTCGGGTGTTGGCAGTTTACTCAGCTCTTCCCTCAGTAATCTGTAGTGCCTCTGTGAAAATAATACATGAAATAATGAACTTCGTGTTTCTGCGTTGACATTGTAGACAAAACGCATAGAATATTCTTGGAAGTTACTTACTCTTAAAGCTAAAGCGTTCAGAGAAAGGGTACGGCCAGACCTGCGGTCCGAACCATGCATTTCCATATCCCGTATCCAACCTTCCAATTGTGCAACGATTTCGTGTCTCTTTATCCAGAAGTGGGTGTGTATAACCTACAGATATTATTGTTAAATGTACCGATGTAAAGACATTTGAATGGGAACAGTAGTATCCTATATACTTACCTCTTTGAAGCAAGGACATGGATTGCGAATTTGATCAAGCATCGCCCACTTAGCAGTAGCCTGACAAATGTTCGCATTGTACTCTTGACTAGATTGAGCTCCGCTCGTTGTACCGCGTGATCTTTCATACCCCGGTTCGTTGAAATAAGGTTCAGATACCAAAATCAATGACTGTATCGATACTAAAACCTGTGTTTGTAACAAATAAAAAATTTAACTTACTACATATATATTCATTTCCCTTTTATTATTATTGACCTTACCTGAAGGAAACTACTGGTGTGTGCATTCCATTTTTCTTCAGGGCGACCGTGCCAAGTGTTCAATACGCTCAGGCAAACTTTTCCGTCGTTGTACAAATTAGGATTAAACCGTACTGTGTGACGACCAGTGGTTTCCAGATTGATTAACATCGGACTATTGGGATAGTCCGGAGGAAAATACACGTCGAACTCGAAGCACCCGTTTGCATATGGTGTTTCTGCTGGCCCTGTTATCAGTACCTGAGAAGAAACATTTATTGTCATAAAAAAAGAATAATGTATACTTGGTAATAATTGATAATTTTCCTTATTCCAAATACCTTCATTACATCTAATCTGTCCGCGTCGCATCTAACAAAAACGCTACTACTGTACGACAAAGGTAACGCGGTGGAAAGTGTTACGGCTTCTTGTGCTAATCTCTTGACCCTGGTGGGATGACTTCTCTCATCCGCCGCTCTCATGGTCGATTCAAAATGATATGAGACGGCAAACTTGTATCCTCCTGCTTCTGGGTTTTCCGTAATCATTTCATACGTATCTATAATTAATAGCATCGCATTAATACGAAACAACCAATAATACAATAAATATTAACAATCGAAGATACAAGTATTTATATAAAACATCTTACCGAACTGTAAATTCTTCATTACTTCTAAGTATCGTTGTTCGATCGAACGTAAAGGTAACTCTGGACCCGTGGGACTCGGACCAGGTAATTCTTCTTCGATTCCTGCCAATCTCGCGATTGCGTTTTGCACTATGGTCGCGCTTTCTTGAATGTCAGGAATCAATGTTGCTAAACCTTCGTCTTGTTCGCTGTCATCCGGATATTTGAACAGGGTTTTTGATTTGTTACTCCTTGTGCGGTTTATCTTGTGGGCGTACGTGTCCACGCAAACCCTCATGCTTGACAAAAGCGAGACAACGGAGGGTTCGCTAGACTTCCCGCTCCTTGGTAATAAAAGTGGAGCTAATTGATTCGACAGAGCCATAGCTCTGAGTAACTGCAACACTGCCCGATACAAAGGAATATGCCTCGCCATGTCTAACACCGAATCGTTTCTTAAGTACGAGGACAAGGCCGGAAGTAGGCATGATCGAGCCAATAGATCGGGGAAAGGAGCTGGTAATTCTCTTTGCGTTTGTCCACCGGATCCGATGTAACTCGCCAGGACTTGCAATAATACTGTGACGTGTTCTTCTTCAGATTTTTGTCGCATCAGAGCTTGTTCAACATTCCAGGATTGTTGAGTAGAACCGGTTCCGAATCCTGTGCCCTTCGCCCAGTACGACTGTGAGCTATCGTCGCTGCGTCCTGCGACGTCACCCTGATTACCAGATGCCTTTTGCTCCGAACTTTCATTCTGGCTCGTCTGGTGTGTAAATATAGCCAAACAATTCAATAGAAGAAGCATGGCGCCCACTTTGATCGTCGTTTTACGCAAAAGGAGACCGTCGTCTGTAGTCGCGGGTGTAGCGTCAAGTAACTGCTTTAAAACTTGGAACGGCAAAGTTGGTAATGAAGCAGCCAACGGCGACGTTATAACATCACCACCTTCACCGTCGTCCGTGACACCTAAAGCAAGGCGCAGTAGACACTGTGCAGATTTCCGATCCCTCAATAGCACTTCCGCGTAACCTGGAAGCCTGAGGAACAGTCCGAAAGCAGCTAAGGAATGTGGTGGCACATATACTGCAGGAGATGATGCTCGTGGTGAGTTGTTTCCACCTTCCTCCAACACTTCGTAAGCATAATCGTTGATGTCCAGTTTAACCCATTCCTCTTCGTACGTCTGTTCCGGTGAAGGCAACGACACCGATGGCGGTCTATAATCTGGATAAACCAGAGGCAAATGTCGGGCCAGTACCGCTAAACCACCACCAGCACTGAATACTCCCAATGAACTTTCTATGCTTCTGTAATTTAGTAACTCGCCTTCGTTTTGTTTGGCAATATCTTCTTTGGAATCTTTATTACGTTGACGTAATATAAGATGCAAACAGGGCTCTGACAACGATACCCCACTATCTTCGGCAATAGCTAACAGCTGAGCAATGGTCAACTGCGCTGGCAAAGGAGTATTTAAACGTGACGAGTGTATCAAATATTGTTCATTTGTAGAATTGCTGGAATTTTGTTGAACGTTGTTACTCTGTGCTTTACTCGTGCCTGCCGCACCATCGGAATTCATTCGTGACTTTCTAGTAGCAGGACCACGAGCTTGTGCTCCATTAGATGCTTCCTTCGCTCTTTTATCTTTTGCTGTATTTCCAGCAGCTACACTTAAGGTGTCTACTACAAAGGCCATGCCAGACTCCCAAAGCTCTCGTGAACGATTATTATTCGATGCAGTTTCGTTACTCTTATACGTGTTCGACAATAACAAAAACAACCAGGTACCAGATACTTGCTGCAATATATCTGCCACGGTTGATTGCGTAGACATGTACAGTAACTGATGATAATGACCGAGAGGATGAGCCGGATGAGGTGGCATAGATGGCATACTGTAATTGGTTGCTGTTTTTGAAACTTTCATAGGTGTATCCGAAGTTACGGACACTAATACTTTTTCACCGTCCAAAAGTAATTGTAGAATCAACTGTCTCGTGAAACCCGAAATTCCGTGGAGGTAACGTATATCTGTTTCAACAAAGATCATATAGTGTTATAAAAATGATGACCCAATTTACAGTAAAATTACTCTACTTACTCGAAGTTGTTCGTTGTTGAGAAATTACATCGGTCAGTAATTCGGCCAGTAACTTCTGATTTTCTAAATGACACCAACAACATCTAGATAAAAATTTAATCATAGCACTTTCCAGCGAGGCATATGAAATATTTGTCTTAGAAGACCTGAAAAGTATTAAGAAGATACTTATAAATATCTTCGTATTTATGTATGATTTATTGGCTGTTAAAAATCCTTTGTAATATCTTACCGCAAAGAGGACAATGATGGACTTTCTATCGATCGATTACTAAGAAGTGACAAAAGAGGCAACCAAAAACCACGGCCTTCTTTTCCCAACCAATCGCGCATTCTACCTTCCGAGCAGACTAACGTTAAAAATTCCAACACCATCGCTATGCTTTCTGGATCTATCATGTTAAGACCACCTAAACATTTTTACCGATTATAAATTTGAGTAAACAATTATCGTCAGTAAACAGTATATACTTACCAGAATGATTATTTGTTTGCGTAGAAGATTCACCAGCTTTATCATTATCTGTTAAACTTCCTAGTGAGTTACTTTGACAACTGTCCTCGGTAGACATCCTTTCCACTTTCGATTGTCCTTGTTTTGCTTTCTCCAAGTTACAAAACTCTGCATAAAAATTTAATTTTCCTCCATTAATAATCTATTGAGCTTCAGAAATATTAAAATTAAAATGAATACTTTACCAGTAATAGATGCCGTTAGCAGAGCAGGAAGTCCAGAGTCGATTAATTGTTGAATGCCAGGTGGTGAACGAGCCGCTGCAGCGACAGTGAGTAACTGTCCTTCCGTCAGATTTAATCGCTTACATTCTGATAACACATAACGACAATACCATTCTTCGCCATTAATTTCACACTTCCTATCATCAGTTTGTCCTTCTCTCTCTTTACGGTCATCCGAGATGGATGCAGAGTGATCAGTCGCCATATTGGGCACTAAAATCCGTACTCTTTGGAGAAGTAGAGGAAACAATGTTGGTCTCACGTAGCAAAACGCGCAAAGAACAGAATCAATTGCTTGTTTTAAAGCTGAATTTGTTCCTAACGTTAAGGTCCATTCGTACAAAACACTGTAATAAAAAGCAATTCACATTCAGATTTGTTGCCGCTGAGGAAACGATGATCGCATAACCTTCAAAGTAATAACTTACTTAAAAAGCTCATCTGTCAACAGAGCTTGTAGATTATAAATAATATTCTGCTGTTGGTGAGCTTTCCATATAATAGAAGATATGCAATGAATATATACAGCCGGAGGATTAATGGCATTAGGGCCATTGCTGTGTCGCGCAATTCCATTCATAGCTGACGCTCTTAGCCATGAAAGTACCGCAGACATTCGAGCTTCTGTACAAGAATCCTGAACGGAGCAAAGTTGCTGAAGTAATTCAACAACCGACTGAACGATCGATGTCTCTTGTTTGGTCACTGCACCTGCAAAACGTAGATTACATAAGTCTTAGTTTATATATCCAGAGAAGTGCTTTGTCCTTCCAAGAAAGTAGAGTCGATTACCGAAAATAAAAGCAATACCTTGGAAAAAAGAAGTAGACCTGTTGCGAAGTAAAAGACCAATGAGACGAAGTCCAAGCTCTCGAGAGTGTAAGCCCAGTTGTAATAGAACCCTCTCCAAATCGGGAGTGAAAAGGGACGGTGCTGGGAGCAGCAAGAAATTACAACATGCCTCAACCAGCCCTTCGACCGAAGCCGCAGAATTAAGCACCTTAACAGCAAGGTTGCTGTTTAAAGTGCTCACCGACAGGCACTGATGCAATAATCGCAACCAACCCAAGCTGGACAGATAAATGATAAACATCGTATTTAGATACTTATAGTAATAGGAAGTCCCTTAATAGTATAACATCATCAATATCTGAATCAAAGTACTATTTACAATAATCGAATAGAATTTTACCTTTTTTTCGTTAATTGCTCCTCGTCTATCGCGTCGTGATTAGTTTTTATTTCACCGAATGCAGCTGTACCTAACAATTTAATCTGACTTAAGCTTATATTTGTTGAATCGCGAGGTTTGTACAGTCGAACCAGTACAGATGTTGCTACTTCTGGTTGAGATAAAGTGATGAGTATAAGTGCTAAGCCTGCCGTTGGCATAGGTGGACAAACAGGTGTCAAAGGACTGTTGCTCTCTCGTGAAACTTCAATGGCTACAGCTGATGGGCACGCTGCCAAATAATGACACAAATTAACGATACATCATTACTGATCTTTCCCAATTTTTAAATTTAAACGGGCAATATAAAAGGGAGTCATATAGCAAAACTACACTGTATTTGTTTATTATATATCTTACTTGCTAAGGATGTAAGATGTGGCTGCAATTCAACTTTCTTCAACAGTATTGCACAAGGTAAAGTGATCGTCAAATCGACCCATGCTTCGTCAGGATAGCAATGATATAACCACGCAGCAGTCCGTGCTCGTTTGTGAGGTGTGTAATTTTGTATCAGAACATCTGCTGATTGAGTCGAAGGATGCAACCATGATATCGTTCCCAAAGGAGCAAAATTTAACAACGTTTCCTCGTAAGGTTTGCATTCTTGCGTATTCTCAGACTTCTTACTACTCGTGGAAGCCACTGGCATCATGTTAGGAGCGTTTGATAAATGTTCCATTACCAACGCAATCACTCCGGGTGACGCAGAATTGTTACTACCACTGCTGCTCGACTTTACCAGATTTTCGCAAAGGACTTTAACGCCACCCATCGCTGTGAACATTGCCAATGATACTTCGTTATCGAGAACGCTTAGGATGTACCAGAGAAGAGGTTCCGATAATTGCATGACGCCCAACTGACAATCCAATTCTCTTTGCCCACATGCTGAAAAATACAAAATACAATGCATGCACTCCCCAAATTATATTATGCTATAAAATTAAAAGTTGGAATTATAGTTCTTACAGGACGAAAGATATTGATAAAGTGGATTGAGGACTAAGGTACGATTGCTTGCTTTTTTAGTAAGAGTGGTCAAAAGCTGAAACGTAGCATCCGGTATTGAAGCAGGATCGTCAAGTTCAGTAACTGCTCCTGCATCAGCGCTTTCGCCTAAAAGCATCGTTAAAGAAGAACCGGAGCTGTTACCGAGAGCACCTAACAATCGCATCATAGTGGGCTCATGTTGCAACACTGAAAAATATACAAGAAATACAGTTAGATTTAATCGAAAACAACAAACATTTTTATGCTTACCAGTATCTGCGACACATCGTACGCGGGGCTTGTTAGACGAAGATTGTTGCAAACGAGAAGACTGTTGTTCTGCCACTTTACTTTCGTCCGTCTGTGAAGTATTTATTTTCATTTCAGAATCATTAATATCATTTGTTGAATTGAGATTCGATTCTGATAGATCGATTCGCATTGTATTATCAGACCGTCCTGCACAACTCTGAAAATAATAATACATTAAGAAGTATTTTTACTTGACATATAATGGCTTAAGTAATAGTAATATATACCTCGGGTAAGGGAGTTTGAATAAGTCGACACACTAATTCGATAAGAGCTACAACTAAAGTATCCCAAGAAACTGGACGACCCTGTCTCGTATCTCCACCGAAGACACAAGCAAATAATCCATTGAATCGATGTGATGGGTTTTCAAAATTAATTGTACCGCCACATTGAGCTCCAACTATTTTCACATCAAAAATGAATAGTTAACAAATAGTTATATATATATAAACTGATTTGGACTTCATAAAATTACCTCCAGAACCCCTAACGTAGGTAGAAACTAATACTCCAACACATTCGGTTACGCTCATCGCAGTTCCTAAATCTGTATTAGCAAAGTTTAAGTTTGTTAACGAGGTTATAAGTTTGTACTGTGCGTCTAGGGGTCCTCTTCGTGCAGAAAGGGCTCCACCGGGTTGTACAAGTTGATATACCACCCACAGTAAGAGCTCGTTTAACGCATTTCCTAAAGAGCTACCAGGTGTAATTACATCGCATCTCATCTTTAATCTAACTAGAAAATCTTGTAATGCTTGGCATACAGTAGGTCCAGCCTAAAAATTTAACAACAGGTTATACATTTTTTATAAAAAGATTATATATTTGTAAAGACATTAAATTTACCATAATGTATTGTTTGTCCATAGCGTCAACGCTTAATCCGCTACCAGAAAGTAAACGCAAAAGCATAGGACCCATGTTGCGTTCTTTCACAATACATCCAGCCATACCTCCCAAAAGACCATCTAATGGTTGTCTACTGCTCGTAGCTTCCGTAGAATCTGTTTGTAATGGTTGATTACTTGCTAAAGTCAAACACTGGAGAGCAAGACACCAAGCACGTAAAGAGACTCCGGGGTGCCTGAAAATTAATTTTCTTTTGTGCTTGATCATTTAATTTTTATTTTTATGAACAAGATTAAAGATACGGGAACATATCATTTACCAAGATAATGCAGATATAAGACTGGAAATAGCGGCTGAGCTCAGTGGAATAACAGGTGATAGCGAAGGATCAAATTGATTAGAAGAACTAGGCTGTTCTGAAGATGCATTTAAATTCAGTGTTAACCACAACTGAAGTAGAAGTTCCAAGTTTGTTCCCACACTCTATTATAATGGAAAACAAAATTTCGATTGTATGAACATCGTTATTATTATTAACTAAAGTATCCCAAGAAACTGGACGACCCTGTCTCGTATCTCCACCGAAGACACAAGCAAATAATCCATTGAATCGATGTGATGGGTTTTCAAAATTAATTGTACCGCCACATTGAGCTCCAACTATTTTCACATCAAAAATGAATAGTTAACAAATAGTTATATATATATAAACTGATTTGGACTTCATAAAATTACCTCCAGAACCCCTAACGTAGGTAGAAACTAATACTCCAACACATTCGGTTACGCTCATCGCAGTTCCTAAATCTGTATTAGCAAAGTTTAAGTTTGTTAACGAGGTTATAAGTTTGTACTGTGCGTCTAGGGGTCCTCTTCGTGCAGAAAGGGCTCCACCGAGTTGTACAAGTTGATATACCACCCACAGTAAGAGCTCGTTTAACGCATTTCCTAAAGAGCTACCAGGTGTAATTACATCGCATCTCATCTTTAATCTAACTAGAAAATCTTGTAATGCTTGGCATACAGTAGGTCCAGCCTAAAAATTTAACAACAGGTTATACATTTTTTATAAAAAGATTATATATTTGTAAAGACATTAAATTTACCATAATGTATTGTTTGTCCATAGCGTCAACGCTTAATCCGCTACCAGAAAGTAAACGCAAAAGCATAGGACCCATGTTGCGTTCTTTCACAATACATCCAGCCATACCTCCCAAAAGACCATCTAATGGTTGTCTACTGCTCGTAGCTTCCGTAGAATCTGTTTGTAATGGTTGATTACTTGCTAAAGTCAAACACTGGAGAGCAAGACACCAAGCACGTAAAGAGACTCCGGGGTGCCTGAAAATTAATTTTCTTTTGTGCTTGATCATTTAATTTTTATTTTTATGAACAAGATTAAAGATACGGGAACATATCATTTACCAAGATAATGCAGATATAAGACTGGAAATAGCGGCTGAGCTCAGTGGAATAACAGGTGATAGCGAAGGATCAAATTGATTAGAAGAACTAGGCTGTTCTGAAGATGCATTTAAATTCAGTGTTAACCACAACTGAAGTAGAAGTTCCAAGTTTGTTCCCACACTCTATTATAATGGAAAACAAAATTTCGATTGTATGAACATCGTTATTATTATTAATTTTTTTTTTTTTATTAAATTTATGTCATTCACCTGTAAATATAAGTCTGTAAATATTTTGTCAAAGCATCTTGTTAACATTAGTAAACTCGATGACATTGTGTCGGATGAATTCCAAGCATCTTGACTCCTTTCATTCCAACCAGGTTCAACTCTCGACGATGACTGCTGAGAATATCGATTTGACTCCGGTGGTGCCTTTGAAGTAGAAGTTAATTAAACAGCATCCTTCAAAACATACATTGTCCAGGAAATATAAAAAAAAATTGTTAACTTACATGTATCGAAGTGCTTATACTGTAAGGTAAGTTGTACATGCTGAAGGTAGACAATATTCGCAATGATATTTCTATTCCCATTTCGACTCCGTATTCTAACCTCGCATCCATTGCTAAAGAAATACTATAAAAATGGACAATTGACTTAATTCTTCGTACACGTACACCTAGATATAACAAAATTTGTAAATACATCAAAACATACCCAGAAATGTTCACATTTTTTGGTAACGGATGACCCTTCTTTAACATATTTCTACCACGTTCTAGAATATCTTCTAAGAAATCCTCGAATTCACTGTCGTCAGACTCCAAAAGAGATGGTAGAAATCCGTTTGATTTTGAGGTTGAAGCGGCTGCAGGCGGTACTACTATACTGTCTTGAGCATCTTCTTCTCCTTCACCTTCTGCAAATCCTTCATCGTTACCAAGCGGAACTCTAGCATTACTTGTTTCAGCCGAGGCAGTGTATTCTTCTTCTGGCGTTCGGGTTTTCTCTGTAACGAGACATTCGAAATTTTCTTCGGATGGACTTCCTTCGTGGGTGGAACACGTCTTTGGAAGTAATTTTTCACCTGCAATAAAACCAGTTACAATTAATAGAGAATTAAAAATTAAAGTACATGAAAAAAAACCAACAGTAAGTGTCAAAAATAAAATTTCTGATAACAGTAAAATAGACCTTCTCTATACCTTCTAGTAAGTCCTGTAAAAGGCACGATACTGCGTGCGAAGTCCAGGCAGCGTCAGAATTACCCGTCGCCAACCTGACTAATTTTAAGAGCTGTTCTTCGCTCATAAGCTCGCACAAGCTAATTGCGGGACGTGTAGATATCACTAACCTAGCGACTACCTATATGGCACATAATACAACAATTCAACAAGTTGTTTCATAAAAAGCATTAATATGAAACTATATTTTAAAACATCATTTCTACAAGCTAAGAACATCTTTTAAATTAATATAATGGTACTAAGCGTGAATAGGGTATTCACAAACTAATTTTGTAATTCATAAATGTCTGTTTAAAAAGAAAGTACATAAAATAAAGGCAAAGTTTAATATATATATATGTTTACGTACCTTGCAAGCTAATAGGAACATATCCACATTAGCAGAATTATATAAAATAAGAGCAATGAGTCCACGCGCAACAGGTAGAACATGTTGATGAGACAAGTTAGATATGTATTCGACATCTACGTCCGTTCCTTCCGACTTACTAGAACTGCATAATAAACAAAATAATCATATGATATGTTAAATGTTAAATTTTATATAAATTTTAGTTACAAACCTCGTATTAGCCTGTGGTTGTGAACGTGAACTACGCGACACGTGGGCATCATTTTTACGGATACCATGAAAATCTTTGAAATGCTTGGCAGAATTTTGTTTTGATGTTTTAATGAAAAGACGTTCTTGGGACTTTAACGTAGCCTCTACTTTACTAAAAAATGAAGCTGCGTGCGATGAAAGATTTGCCAATCCCTATAAAACCATTAATATTTTTTATATTTTGCCTTCTTCATTCTTAAAAAAATATAAGTAATTTCATACTTGTGACGACGTCTGAAATACTTTCTTCGCTTGTTCCAATTCTTGAAGTTGCTGATTGTGATACATTATACGTTTTTGTAATTTTTTATAACTATAAGAAGCTGGACACCGACTGGCATTACCATATTTTCTTTGCATCGCGGATTCTCCTTGGATAAACTCCCAACGTGACAGTAGACCTTCCAAAAGCAATATCAGAAGTTGAATTATAGTTTAAAATATAAGCATTCTTTATTCCTGTATAAAATATACAATACCTTGTTCTCTACTTTTTTTATTACTCCCTTCTAAACACGGAGGCGAAATGGCTATGGTGTCTAAACATACCGATAAGAAAAGCAATACCCAACCAATGAGGGTTATATCTAAGTGATTAGTGTTAGAAGTTTGAGCATTTGATAACGGTGTCAATAATTTGCCTAAAGTTTGGACCATTGCATCTATCACAGAAGATCTGTTAACTCCCGCGATCAATGATTTACGTCCAAGAAGTGTTAACAAAATAAACACTCTGAAAATGGAAAACAATGTTCATGCATTAGATCAATTATTTTATAGTACATTAAAAAATTTCAAATCCTGAAACAAACCTGTCTTGCGGAAATATATGCGTAGATGACGATGAATAGAGATTGATGAAAATATTAGACAAAAAATTACCCCACCAAGGTTGATGACCAGCCATTCGTGTCAAAAGTGCAACAGCTTGCAACTGCAAACGTGGAGCTGGTGTAACGACACAAAGCGAGTGGAAAAATTTCTCGCAAACTGTTGGTGTAAAAACATTACATATTGCTGGTGGTATCTAAACAATCATAATGTAAATATTAAAAAAAAGATTGCCATGGATATGTAAATTAATTTCAAAGAAATAGTATAATCTAAAAAACGTACACTAGGCATAGGACCAATTTCATATACCGCAAATAAAAGAATATCGAGTAAAGTTTCTCCGAGAGCTCGTAGTTTATCACTCGGTGCGTTTGCTAAAGACACCGTTGGAACGGTTTGAGAACCTTTCCATGACTCCAGTCGTCGCCATACACCGCGAACAACATTCAGTTGGTGTTGGAACATTATACACTCCTGAAATATTCAACATTTTTCATTCCGATAGTTTGTTTTATGATCTCAATTTAGTATTCTGATAATCTAGTCTGACTTACTTGATACGTTGATAGTATTTTTGTTGACGGTTGTTCTTTCTTCCAACTAGGAATTTTACTAAAAGAAAGATAATGCTGCATATGCATAACATTAGTGGTTTCTGAACACAATAGTGGATCCAATAGGCTTTTTAATCTTTCAGTGGCTAGGCTAAATCTAGAAGAAGGAACATATGTAAACAGTAACTATAAAATACACCAAGAATATTACATACAGCATTACATACCTGCATTGAACGTCCTCCGCAAGAGCTGATAAAATATTGCACTGGGTATTAATAGTAGCCTGTACAGAAGAGTCGAAAGTATTATCAAAAAGGGAAGTGTTATCTAATTCTGCATAATCTTCTCCGGGTAAAACTACCATGTGGCCATAGAAAACTCCCAATGGAATTTTGCACATAGTAGGAGACATTGCATACCGGCCTATGATAGTAATCTAAAAGCAACAGAACTTGTTATTATAGCTAACCAATTGCATCAATATATTATTACATTACCTTTAGATATCGGCATACAGGTGGTGGTTGAAGATCGCATACAACTAATGGCCTATTTCCAATATCACCAGCAACGATTAGTCGCGTACCATCAATTTCCTCGATTTTTGACCATATGTCTATGGACAACGACGACAAATCGCTACAGCAAGGAATAATCAGGTCGGTAAGTAATACAGGTGCTCCAAAATCAAGAATTACAAAACGACGAGCTCCAGAATGCATTCTATCAACCACCAATGCCTGCTGAGGTGGTGAACATAGTAATCTTCCCCATGGAAGTGTAACATCTTCTCGCTGCAATATATAGATGTAACAATCGTTACTTCTTTAATGTATACAATTCAGTAACTGTTAAACATCTATCTAGGTATATAGGTAACTAATTATATGAAAATACAGACGAAAATCCGTTTATTCTACAACACAGTAATTCAAAACAGAATGTTTCAAAAATACTGGAGTTAGAAATTTGGGTAAAATCAGTTTTTCCTTTTTTATATCTCTTAACATAGTAAAAGATATTTTGTTTCGCATACCACTTTATAATATAAGTAATTCTTCTGTTCCAATTATCGCTAAACTGTTACTCAAAATTCATGGTGCAGTAAAGAATATACATTGTCACATTTTGTGTGTAACATTAAAAGCATTGAACATGAACAAAAATCTACGCGTTTCATTAAATTAAATGAACAAAGCTAATATGTAAAGTGAAATTAAGAATGGTGCTGCAAAATCATATCAAACTATAAGAAATAGATATAGGCATTTTGTATCGTGAAAATATTTGTTCGTGCGTTGAACTCAAAATAAACCATACAGCATAATAACTTAATCTGTTTCATTACACCTATATTTGAAGAATCTTGTATGTAACTTGTACATAACTTGTATGATACGATGTGCAATATGAAGAGATGATATTGAAATGACACCGATATTAAATGCATGGTACTTCAAGGCAACTTACTCATGCAACTTACTAATCATGTATCTAAATCCATATTCGATACATTAATAAAATGATATAAACTCAGTTACAAACAGCATATTAATGAAGCTAAAAGAACTCACAGTAACGAAATAAAATCGTCAAACTGAGGAACAGAAAGTAAAAGGTGCAATTTCTCATCTATATAGTCTACCTTTTTAGGATTGCTGTCTTCAACTTTGTTTACAGTAGTACTGATACTTTGTACAGACGATTTTTCTTTTGTTACGGTAGAATTTAGTATATGTGAATTAGGCATATCATTATGTGTATCGTGCCATGTCTGATTACTGACAGGCATATCGTTAGCCTCATCACAGTCTGACTGGTCATCGAGTGTGAATATAAGTTGTGGAGCTGGCTTCTTTAACATTCGTCCTGTACATAGACTAAGCAGATCGCTCAAAATAGGTGTCGACTTACAATAAGTTTGAACATCTGGTCCTAGCGATCCAGCATCCATGTTCTACAATGTACAATGATTTCTATCTGGATTATGTTTTTTCTCGTTGAAAAAACATCTACACCATTTATATTTTACTGCACAATTCTAAACGAGTCTTAAAAATTGTCTTACTGTTATAGTTCACAAAAAATATATCATGTTCAACTGTCTGTTTTATGTTACTGTGTTGCTTCGTAGACAATAACTGTTACTTTTACCAATCTGAATGTTATCACGATTCGATCAAATTTAAAAGAATGTCATGCTTCATAAAATTATTCAGATTAAAAGTCTAACGAACAAAAGGAAACAGAAAAGATAGAGTAACTTTTGATGCACTAATATGAAAAAAAATAGATTTCTTCATTAAGACTTACGTAAGAGTGGTGAATAGTTTTGATATCGGATATGCCGTTATTGCTTGTAGTTGTGCTATCATAAAGAGGAGCGCCAATATTAATTGTATTCATACCAGGGTCAATTTTTTCCATCTTGGTACCATCCGAAGCAAAATGACAAGTAAAATGAAGAGGCTCTACCTGCGTGTCAAAAATTATAATTTAGCATATATAATCTAACAATAAAATATTGTTCATAAGACATTATTAATAAATTACCTCAAGAAGCCCTTTCATATTATGATTAGCACACAAAGCTTTCAACTTGCTAGACACCACAAATTCACTAGCTGGATGCGTAGGCAGTGTAAGTAGATCTCTCAAATCAATAGCATCCTGAGAATAAACAGAACTCGATGAAGCAGCTGATGCTCCTGTTTGTTCATTAGTCGCATCTGACACGCATGTCGGGGGTATCGGACTGTATTTTGGAGGCATTGGTGGTTCTATATCGAACAGTTCTGTTTCAAATGGAGTATTATACAAACCAAACCTATAAGAACATTATTTTGTTAATATTATTTCATAAGAATACGATGAAGTATGTCGTATTTAAACTTTTCATTATACCTCGTTGAAAGTAGTAAATGATAAGGATTGACTCGATTCGATATTTCAGCGGCTATTTGTTTTATCAAAGAAATACATTGACGTGCAATGCTGTGATTTTTATCTCGGGGTAAGATTCCATTAATTAATAACTGTAACCATCGCAATGAACCAGCCCACTGAACCTCAACTATAGATGGTAATAACGATACCAAAACAGATACAAGAGCTTCATCGAACGAAGGAGATGGAGGATCCTCTAGATTATAAAATCCACTGAAAAATAATTTATACGATGAAACAAATTTCACGTTTCCTTAGCTAATTCGAATACCAGTGCATTGTATACTTACGTGTTACAAAGCATAATTAATTTGATACATTTGTGCGCTATACTCCGCCCAGCATGCAACAGGCAAGTTCTTAATAAACTAGATAACCGCGCTTGCACAGAACGAATTGTTTCCAATTGGAAATTCCTTATTTCTGTATTATTTTGACTGCTACGTAATCTCTTTAATCTAATAGCAGTAATCCATACAAGAATATCTAATGCGAGTGACTGTGCAATGGGAGACCTGTAACATTCACATACATATTGTAACGCATACTATAAATATATAGAGGCTTGTATCAATAGTTCCATAATGTTCACTTACTTATCAGCTGTCTTTAAACAAGCTACATTTAACAAATTGTGAAAGCAACTTTTAGATTCCAGCATAGTACATCTTTGCGCTCTTTCATTTGGTATATTAGTAGGATGCACCGTTCTGACGGTAATTGATATTTCGTGAATCCAATCGCAACCTTAAATGATAAAAATTAAAAAAAAATATAAGTTAAATGTATTGTAAGTCATATAGGAAAAAATGAAAGTTATATTTACCAATATAGCCATCTAACTTCTTGCTAGTCGCACCTTCTACAAACCGTTCAACTGTACTACCAGGGACCGTCGGGCGAACTTCGGCTATTCTTAACTTTTTAGATGTTGGAGGTTTGTTGTCCGATGAATTTGTTTCCGACTTTGCTGTTGCCTAAAAATATGCAAATAATGTTTTCGATTTTTATGTTATTAAAATTTTGAAATGATACATACTTTTATAAAAAAAATTTCACATAGATACTTACGTTATCTTTCGAGGGATCTACTAGAGCCTTAATGTGAACAAGAAGCGTTCTAGCTTTCGTTCGAAATAGTTTTGGGCTGGTTAACGTGATACAACCAGAACGCCAAGACAAGTCTAAACTTCGATGTAAATCAATCGGTCCACATAAAATTTCAGTATTATGTTGTCGTTGGTACTCTTCCGTAGTCACCGGGTTCTCTCCTTTCTGTTCACCTATGTTAAAGTCTATTCTCTCATCAACCGAAGTTAACAGAAACTTATGATGACCAATTCTTTTAATATTTTGCTTCAACAAAGTAACTTGAATTGTCGGTAGTTCTTGACAAACCGAATGCAAAATAAATCGAACGTCTATATGACCAATATTTCCTGTTGCACTTCGAGGAAGAGTTAATTCAAATATATGTTCGTCCCAAGTAGTCCTATGGATTTAATTAATAATTGTTACAAAGAAAAACAAAATAAAATATATTATGGATAGCTTCAAGTATAAACATGTACCGTTCATTATTCAAACGCCATGTTCGCGTATAATGTTGGTTTTCTGACTGATGAAAATGTTGAGGATGTCGACGTTGTCTTTGAGCTTGTAGCATTTCGTTCCAACATGGTGGAACGGTAGCACCGTACGCGGGAGAATGTCGATCAAACCGTGTTAATTCATAAAGAACACGTAAATCTGAATAAGAGAATCTCAATTTGTGCGCAACTAATTGATCTCTGAAAATATATATAATATTTAATAAAAATGACATAAATAATATACTATTTATCTTGGTTTTAATCTTACTGAGTAGATGACGAAGTACTAGGTATAGTATTCTTTTTACTGTTTTCTTCTGTTGTCATCATATTGATATCTTCAATATCTTCTTTATTTTCCATAGAATCTTCTTCGTCTGTTGTAATAAAAAAATGTAGTTCACCATCGCTTGTACATGCACACAATCTTTCTAAACCTAAAAGAAATCATGTCATGAAAAAAACGAATTTTGTTAATAAAAGGAAAAGTAAATAATGTAAACTTACTATTACAATAAGCTGCAGAAACAAACTTCTTCCCTTCTATTCTTGCTTCACTGATAGTTTTCAATGAATTTAAATTTAATACTCTGACAATACCATCTTTGCACACTAAAGCTACTTGTCCAACAGGTTCTGGTACACTTGAAGTAGTCTTACTATAATTTTCACCAGGCAACGAACATTTATTTTTCTCTTGAAGAGGTAAAAACACATGCTCGATGGGTGCTTGATCTGCTGGTAACTCTCGTTTTGCCACTGGTTCCGAGAAAGCCTTAACTACCTGTCCCGAAAAGTCTAAAGCATACACAAGTAGTATAGCATTCATATTAGTTGACTCGTCGTGCATTTCATCGTTTATAAATCTATCAGATTGTGTATCATTGTGGTCCCAATACACGTAACCTTTTTGTGGGAAAAATTCACTCTCCTCATCAATATCCATTTGATTATTATTTGACATCAATGAATCTGTGTTATCTGTCATAGGACACATGGCAACATATAAATGTCTCCCATCCTTAGATGGCTCAATATGTGTAATTTTAAGAAAATCTGGAGCTTCAATAGGTAAAGTCTTTACAACAACTGGTTCAGTCTTTGTCATTTTCATAATATCTAGACTTTTTTTGTTTACTGTTGTCAAATCAGACGTTGACGCAAAATGTTCTGGACCATTGATAGGGTTGTAATTGGCATCAAATGAACTTGAAGTTGGAGGTACCGTAATACCAATTGGATTTGAATAGATACCATTGGAAGATGATGCAGTCAGAGCAGATGTTGGAAAAATACCCTCGAAAGGTGGACCAACTACCATATCTGAATCTACATCTTCTATCACTGGAACATCATAAAAAAATTTACCAACTAAAAATTCTTGATATAAATTCTCTTGACGTTCTCCATTTGAACTAGCACTGGTTTCCGTTCCAGATAATGTCTTTTTAGTTTTGGAATCCTTAGTATTATCTTCTTTCATTGGTTGTGGTATTGTCATTTTATGATAAAAATCGTAAAATACTAAATAGTGCAATTTCGATGGTGCATACTTATCACCTGCTACCTTCATTATATCTAAAGTATCACTGGCAGCACTATTTACACTGTTCATTGCATGAACAAGAGACGAAGAAGGAGCTAAATCCGTTGAAGCTGCCCACACATTTTCTAAAGTTCTTAATTGTGATGGGTTATTAACTGTCACTGTAACACCACACACTACACACGGCCTGATTTTAGAGTCTACTGTCTCTACAGGTAAAAGCGTAGAACCAGATGTTGTTTCCTTGATTTGAGACTTAACAGAACCTACTACAGACAGAGCTGTAAGTTGCACTTTATGAGATGTTGGATGTTTATATTCGGCAAAGGGATCTGTTTCTGAATTAAGTGTCCTTAAATATGATGTCAAATTTCTAGCAGAACCAAACTGAATAGAATCTTTATTATTTATTTCTTGATCTACAGGAGGAGAGACCACATAAAATGACACTTCCCTCTGAAAAAAACAAATTATATAAACATGTTTCTAGAAAATATCGAATATTACTTAAATTTAAGATTTACCTTTAATTGATTTGTCACATTCCACACGTTGATATAACCACTATTGGAAGCTGTAGCCACAAGACCACTGACATTTGTAGTGCTAATCACATCTACACTATCATCTGCTTCTTGTGCAGGAGCCGTGGCAAGGATAACGGATAAAGGAACATTTTGAGTGTATTCCCCTTTAACGAAAGGACATGCTGGAGAGTGTCGTTCATGCTCTGACCAAGGTTCATCTGTTGGTTCCCAACAAACTAAACAAACATTGCATGTAAAACACATTATTCTATCTTCGCCCGTTGCATTTGGTTGATGATAAAATCCAGCTTGAGCCATTTGATCAGGTAAAGCCCACCTACAAAGAAGTATACACATAATACATTTGACAAATTAATACCAACAAGTACAATAACTGTTCAAGATTTATACTTGTAATTCATATGTGGCCATTTTGAGAAAGTTTCTCGTCGTGTGGCTTCGCTAAACATTACTCCTTTATCAGCAGAACCTCCCTCTAATGGCAGGCCTGGCAATAGGCCATTTAATCGTTCATTGATAGCAGAAGCAATTGACAATGCTGGAATATGTCGATTTAATCTTTTCAACTCCAGTACCAATCCTGAACACACAAGCTTCAAAGAACCATGTGGTAATTCCAGACATATTGTGTTCCACTGTTGCAAATAAAATAATTTTCATAAAAATGTTAGAAATTATTTAATCACCTTAAAATATATATGATGTACTTCCTTATTTGCTTACTTTTTGGGCTTTTATCCCCTTTGTTTGGTTTGCTTTTACTGAACAAGTTTGAGTTGCTAATTTTTTAATTACTTCTCGCACGTAATCTACACCTGGTAGTTCTACACATCGTAGACACTGATATAACAAAGTAGCTTCGGAAAACAATAATTCTAGTTTTACAACATCTTCGCTTCTTGAAACAGGTGTTTGTAAAAGAGTATCCAAAAGGAGTACACCATTGTAATCACTACGTACTCCAATTCCTCTTCCATCTGTATATAATATTTTATCTACACCGTTTGATAAATATGTACCTTGAAGTTTTCCATTTAATTTGTCTATAAGAATGAAAATTGCTATTACATCGTTAACCCTTCAATGTACTAATATATTAAGGTCTTTTCTTTATAAAAACCAAATATATTTAAGAACTCAGAATATTAAAATCATCAACAAACATATTACAAAAAGATTAACTTTTAACATATTATCTATCGTAATAAAAATGATGCAAATGATATGATATATAGAGTACAACTATTTCAACAATGTTTTGATCGTACTGGAATAAATAATGTAAACATGAAAAACATTGAGTCTTCCACAATAAATAGGTCAAAATGTACAGATGAAGAATAATAGATACTGTTTAAAGTAAAAATGTAGGCAGTTGTGAGGATCTGCAAGAATATTTAAGATCTAAAAATGGTCAGGAGAAGTAGTCATTAACAAACAGTTAATCATTTTATCTACGAAACACATAGATTAGAAAAACTGTAGTCATGCCTGACGTTTTATTCGCACAATACGACCTTGACCATGAGGCGTAATTGAACATTACAAATAAATCTTCTACAGAGTATGATAAAATGAATCGTTATTAATAGAAAATCCTTTTGTGTAAACTGAAAACGTATTACAATGCTTACCAGATAAAGAACATTTTTGTAAAATTACTCCTGAGTTGACATCAAATACGTATACTTGCGACCTGCTATTAGTAATTAGTAACACATTTAGATTAGCATGATAGATTATACTTTTACACTCAGTATACACATTTAAATAACCGTCTTCCTTCAATAACCACGGATCATCATCAGCCATTTTGCTCATACAGATTATAATTCTCAAAAAATTTGTCTAATGCGTGAACATCACAAAAAACATGGCGTACTCATCACCGCCATCTTTGAGTAGAACGTCAGCAAATCGCTCTGAAGTTAGTTAATAAATGTTAAACGATTATTTCAATAGCATTATCGATATGTAATTTCCCGATATTTATATGCATCAGGTTCTTTTGAATACCTTATTTGAGAAATCTGAGAAATTCCCAAACTGAACCTTTAGACACTTTGAAAAACAATGCAATGCAAAGGAGGAACCTCCTTCTACTATCATCATTGGAAAAGCCTATGAAAATCCAAAGTCAAACTTTTCCTATAAAGTTCTCCCATACAATTAAAACAAATCTAAGATATAACTTATATGTTAGAAAGAAATATTTATAAAAGAACATTATGTTTCAGTGTAAACTACTATATTTTCTCCTATATATGTACAGTTTATTAATGTAATATAACAATTAAGCACTTCCTCTAAGTAATTTAGCTTCTTTCGCTAATCTTAAATCTTCTCTGCGCTGTTCAACATTTGCTTCCCTTTGTTTCATAAATTCTTCGTGTTCTTTAGGATCCAGGGTACGTACAATTTCTATACCACAAGTACGAGCAATACCAACAAGCATTTGACAAATTTGTTGTACATTTAGTAATGCCATAGGTGGATCTTGTGCCTTAACACAAGCAATTTCATATAAATGTTTCAATGTTATTTTGCCAGCTATTTCTCCTGTAATAAACACAGCATGTTAGATTTGTGTCAACTGTGTTTTATTTTTATTACCTTTCATTATTTTTCCTCTCTCAATTCCAGCTGCTTGTTTTAAAAAATATGATGTTGGTGGATGATGAATTACTAAATCGTAACCTCCATCAGCTCTTGCTTTTATGCGACATGGCAAAGGTACACCTTCTTTAATATGTGCCGTCTTATTGTTAAACTCTTTGCAAAAATTTGCTATATTAATATTTCTCTAGAAACAATATAATAAATCTGTTGAGAATGTAGAAAAATATAAAATTTCTGAAAGTATAAACTATTTTTATTATATATTGCAACTTATATGCATGAATATACAAGAAATATGAATATTGTAACAAAATGTATAACCTGCCCAAGTTGTGATCCAAGTGGTGGTTTAGCACTTGCCATTCCTGCAGGAATATATACTTGTAAAGGTGAAGAATGATCCACTTTTGGTAATATTTTCTTCGCCATACGACGTCCTTGTTTCAATGATTTAGACATTTTCGTGGATTTCTTCTCACAGAATTTCTAACCTTAAATCGGTGTAAACTTATATCTATCTACAATAAGTAATTTTATGTCTTACAGGTACAATCAATTTTCTACATATTTAAGATAACATATAAATACATGTAAAATTGATATGTAACAACTAATAGTTACAATGTACCCTTTAGGTTACCTTGCTAAATAAACTTCAAGGTGTTTATGTGCTATCCCAAAGCATACACGACTCTAAAGTGACTTTGTAAAATAATAATTGGAAACATATATTAAATAGTGCAGACAAGTATCAACCAATTAATTAGTTATTTATAATAGATAATACGTAGTAAAATAAAAAATGGGTAAACGTCAGCATCAAAAAGATAAAATGTAAGTAATACTATATAGGTTAGAAAAAATAAAATATTACTTGTTTAATTAATCGACATATATATAACATTTTTATAGGTATTTAACATATACGGAATGGACAACATTATATGGTGGTAAAAAAGCAGGAACCTCTGAATCAAGTGAAGATGCAAACTTCCGTCGTTTACCCTATGATCATTGTTGTTTAACTTTACAACCATTTGAACACCCTTATTGTGATCCACATGGAAATGTGTTCGAATTAGAAGCGATATTAGAATATTTAAAAAGATATAAACACAATCCTGTGACAGGAAAATCATTGGATCCAAAGAGTTTGATAAAACTTAACTTTCATAAAAATGCAGAAGGACAGTATCACTGTCCAGTTCTTTTTAAATTATTTACCAAATATTCTCATATTGTTGCTATTAAAACAACTGGAAATGTATTTTCGCACGAGGTATACATTTTTTTATTTCTTTTTTAATTTTTTATCGGAAGTTATTTAATATTTATCCTATTTAGGCAGTGGAACAACTGAATATAAAAACCCGTAACTGGAGAGATTTAGTAAATGATGAACCTTTTACACGAAAAGATATTATTACAATACAAGATCCAAATAATGCAATGAAATTCAATTTATCCACTTTCCATCATATTAAAAACAATATAAAACTGGAAGATGAAGGTTGTGCTTTATATTGTAAATTTAATTTAATATTTGTTATATATTTTAAAATTGAATTTAATATTGCAGAAATGATAAAGGACCAAAATAATCCTAATGCAAAACTAAAAACTGTGTCAATGGAAACTAAAGAAATATTATTTGAATTGGATAGAGATTATAAACAAGCAGCAGTTAAAAAAGAAGTTTCCAAACCAAAAGCTGATAAATTTAATGCAGTTTGTAGATTAATATTATTACTTTGTATTTTAATTATATATGATGCCCAAATATAGTAATATTTATATTCAGGCACATTATTCTACGGGTGCGGTGGCTGCCGGTTTTACATCAACGGTCATGCCAACTGAGACCACTCATCAGGCAGCAGTTATAGCAGAAGATTTAGTACGATATGAACGAGTTAAAAAGAAAGGTGAATTACTTAGTCAGTCCTGTTTTTTTTGGTTAGTTTAATAATATAAAATTATTTTCCAGGATATGTAAGATTAGTTACAAATTTTGGTTCTTTAAATCTTGAACTACATTGTGATCTTGTTCCGAAAACTTGCGAAAATTTTATAAAACTCTGTCAAAGTGGCTATTATAATGGAATAAAATTTCATAGATCCATACGAAATTTTATGGTAAATATAATTAGCATCTTATAGAAAAACAATGAATGATATGTATTTTCTTTATTTACCTAGATACAAGGAGGCGATCCTACAAATACTGGTAATGGAGGTACATCTATTTGGGGTAAAACATTCGAAGATGAATTCAAACCAAATTTAGTTCATCAAGGAAGGGGAATTCTTTCTATGGCAAATTCTGGACCAAATACAAATGGATCGCAATTGTATATAATTTATTATATATCTTAACAAATTTACGAGTACATAATATTTAATTTGACTATTTAATTACAGCTTCATTACATTTCGATCATGTAGACATTTAGATCGTAAACATACTGTTTTTGGAAAGATAGTAGGTGGATTAGAAACATTGAATGCGATTGAGAAAGTCGAGGTAGACAACAAAGATAGACCTATAGAAGACATAGTGATACAAAAAGCTCAAGTTTTTGTCGATCCGTTCCAAGAAGCGGACGAGCAGTTAGCTACTGAACGAGCAGCCGAAACAGAACGATTGGCTCAAGAAAGTGCGAAAAGTAAATTGGACGATAAATCAGGAAAAAAGGACGATTTAAAAATATATCGATCAGGTGTAGGAAAATATATAAAAATGGATAAGGAAAAAAAGTAAAATCAAATTGCGTATAAAATTATATATGTATATATTGAAGATGTTAACACAGTGCTAATCACTTCTTTTTATCCACAGGACGGAAAAAGAAGAATCCAATTTTGGACCTGTGGTTAAGAAAAAAAAGGTTATACAAAACTCATTTGGTGATTTTTCTTCGTGGTAAAGCAATTATTTAAATAATTTGAATAAGTGTACATATAAATTGTTTATAACTTTTATTTTAAGCATACATTTTTATAATTATACATGTTAAATAAATTATAATTTGAATGTACATTTAAATAAACAAATGTATAATAAAATAAATATATTATTATATTTTAATCGTTGTATATTACAAATTAAATAGTGATGTATAAACTTTATCCAGATAAATTTATTAATCCTGAACTCAAATTTTTGGAAATATGTAAAGGTTAGGCAATAATACTGGAAATTGAAAGATGAAGACCGGGTTCTCCATATTTGATGTTTGCTTTGCTCAGCTCGAACTGGCGAATTTAATATACATTTTTGACGTATTTTGTTGTAATTGTTGTTTGTAATTATTTAAACTGTGGTGCGATTCGTGAAATAGTGTTTGTTAAAGCCAATATACATTGAAGATGGACGATTTAGGTGAGTAACTTTAAATTTAAACCCATAATTTTTGAAATAACCTCAAATCTAAATTAAACTGTCAGAATAGTCGAACATTTCGATATGTACGTATTATTCGGTGCCGTTATTTTTTGATCTTTTTTTCTACTAATCCCTTACTTTTGGAAAAAGCGCTTCTAGAAATTATATAGAATAACAATCAATGCATTAACTTAACTAAATAATTTCATAAATATAATATTTATTAACAAGATTACGATTATGTATTTATGTTCAATAACATTGTCGATATACGCAAATATTGTTAAGAAAATTATGTATAAATTTAAACGAATTTATGTTAAATAATTCGAATATAAGTTGGTAGTTTTGATTTTGTTTAATTTTATACATGTACTCCATTGTTATAAGAACTTAAATGCCAATCTTATAAGTAAGTAGTTATTACTGGAATCGTGCAACAATGTGCATTCATTTAACAGTAGGTCACACTATTACCTAAGTGTAATATATGTCGAAAATACTTTACGATTTAACAATAAAATTTGATTATTATGTAGTAAGTTTATAATAAAAACAAGAAAAAAAGTGAATGTGTAACTATTATCTTAACGACTACAAGTGGTAACATCTTATTACATCACTACACTGATTCACTTCTTAACTACAGTTGTTTGACATGTGTTTGATTTAGATTAAAAATTTTTGTTAACTTAAGTAGATTTCATTACTAATTGCATATTGGCGGTAAAGATATCACTTATTTGTATAGATCTTCTTTTATTTCAAGTTTGATTTCTGTAAGCGATATTTATTTGATAATGCAGGATGATAAGATACGTTTTCATTTTTTCAGTGAAATTGTAATTTTCAAGCTCTAGAATAATTTTAACGCGAGGAATAATTTAATAAATATTATACTCATCTGATAAGACGAAAAACACGCATGACCTGCGAAGATCATTTTACCGGAAGAGACCTTTAAAACAACATAATATTACAAACGCGTCCTGAGTAACTTGTGCCAACGATTCTACGTATTTTTAGTGTATTTCACGGCGCCGTTGTCCTCTCATTATTGGCGTCGCGGGGAGAGGACGGACATGGTTAGTGCGGGCGAACGCCTGAAATACACTGGTGCATTTGAACTTCTCGTTTTCCCTTGGTCAAAATCAGTCTATCCGCTTTAAAAAGAGTAATACATGTACTATTTTATTTTAACTTGTCGAATGTTGAATTTGTTTTCGTGTTATTATATCAGAGAAAACATCCATTTAATCTTTTATAAAAAAAGTTCGAGGTTTGTTAACGCATGATGTGTGTGCGTAACCAGTTTACGCATCGCGTGAGGAAGTATTTAAATCAGTTTAGAATTCTTAAGAAATAACGATTGATTGGTTAATGTATCCACGTACATTTTTATAAATAAACAGACTTGCGATTTATTCGCATACTTATGCGTGTAAAATTCGCAGACGACATTCAACAAGTGGCCGCTTGGTGTGTGCATCAGCCCCACCACCAATCGATCCTCCACACAGCTCGGTCATTCGCGATAGACAGTGAAGAGAAGCATTGCCACGGCAAAAGTGCTGCATAATACTACACGTTGATGTGTTTAATGAATTCGTAATTCTTGCGCGTACATTGTGATAAAGCTAATGACTGCCAGTGTGATTACAAGTGATACGTTGAAAAGGAAAAAGAAAAAAGAGAATGGCTATGGACCGAACGATGTACGGAAAAATAGAACCGACTGCTATTTATCAACCCTATAAAATCACAATTAAAAAGGGTGCACCACCTGGATGTGAGTTGATGTTTCTTTTCACGTTTAATCCATTAATAATAAAAGTTCTGTACACACAATATTTTTTGTGCCTTTTATGGTCATTATCTCGTTATCTCGTTTCTTTTTTTCGTATTATAAGTACCTATTTTCTTTAACACGATCTCTATAAGAATGGATTGATTACTGCGTGTCTGTGATGTCTGAAAATTGTATTTTCAACCGTTGGAAATTAGTGGGTTAATAACCTAGACTGAAATGAAATATTATTTCATCAATCGAGCGTAAACAATCGAAATAGAATGAACCTTAGTGAGAATGAACATTGTTTCTAACGATCATGAATGCGTATGTGCATATATGCGACCTCTTTGCATACGTAATATGATTACCGGTTAGAAATACGAATTGTATATTACTTTTTATAACTTTCTCTTTGAAAAAGTTTAGCATTAAGATGATAATTGTTGTGTCACTTTATAATCTGCACTGTTATAATCTCCATTTCTGTAACTGCGCGCGATATCATTAACGTGGACCTTTAAATTAGATTCAATTGCTCATGATGTAATCCATTTCTTTTTTGTCGGTTTAAAGAGGACGTTAAAATGTTCTGAAATGAATGCGCTTGTCGTTCATCTCCTTGAATAAAATTCATAAGCCTTGATTTTAATTTATTATGATAACCTCCAATTTTAGCGTAAACTCTAATGTACTTGGATAAGCGATTATATTGCTTGCGTATATTCGTTTTTCTAGAACTTTCTATATGACGTCCCAGGAAATTATAATGTTCTTGAACCGTTGTCGGATTTATATTTTTGGCATATTTTCAAAGGTTAACGCGCGAAATTAATTCGAAACATCTGTCGTATTCCATCTTTTACATTTTGTAAAGTAGTTGCTTAACTAATTTTCTGTTTGGAATTTATGTTACAAAAACCATTGCAAATTAAAATATATAATTACGCGGTAAGAATATTGCCTTAATATTGCATATTCACAGATTACGAGTTTAAATTATTTTTTAAAATGCGCTTTTGATCTTGACCGAAAAGATGACTCACAGTGCAACAGTTTGTACAATTTTTTTGGAATACCTTTCACCTACGACGTGGGTTACCTTGACACTAAACTTTCTGAAATAATTGTTCAGGTCATTATTTACTGACGATTCTTTTTATGGAAATGTATAAGAAGAATGTGGTAGTTTGATCTCTGTACGTTCTAAACGAAGTTTGAATTAAAAATATACTACCTACCGATTCTTTAGCGTGTGCCATCTATTCGTTACTATTAGAATTAATTCTAATGTACAATCTCGCTTTATCGACACAGCAGATTAGCTGTTACCAACAGTGAATTTATCCGTGTATATTATACAAAAATGATGACTTTGAGATTTGAAAGTTTAATAACATTTGAGAACAGTTTGATTAATGAAAGATAACACTTTATCGTTATTCAGCAGATCTATTAAAATTGCACCAAATTTGGACCACCCCGATGTTTCAAAATCGTGTATCCCTAGTGTTTAAAAAACTGGCGATGGAAACAAGTTAGGATATGCATCTGGATATAATTTATACATGTTTTTCTCTTAGAGTACAGGTTACGCGGAAATCGCTTGTTTATCGTGCATAATATTACATTAAAGATCGTGTAATGGTCCAATACATGCGTAGGTATCTCTTCCTTGATCGAACCTTGGCTGATCTATGCATATCCATATCAGGCATGACAGTGCGTGATTTAACTGCCTACGCTTTTGCGTCGCGTAAACTTCTCAAATAGGTTCAACTTGACCCATTACATTCCTGTCACATGTTACTGTAATCAGTATTCAGCATTTGCGTCATTTTTATCATTAAGAATTATTTTTTTTCAACTCAGGATCCTCGAAGGAGAGATATTAGCTTTGGAGAAAAGTCAAAACAGAAGGAGAAAACTGAGAGATGATTAGGTACTCGTGGTTATTTTTGGCGAGTTTGTCGTCATGAATCTAGGTGAAAACGTTCGCCTATAAACATCGTGTGTAAACGAAGGTGTGCAATAGAGATGGACAGCAACAAGGTTGAAAGAAGGAAGGGGAATAGGGACAAAGGAAGGAGGAGATGAATTCACGTAACACAGATTCTGTAGATGCAGCTTAAGAAACAACACGTGTTGCCAGTTTCATCTGATCCAGCAACACATTCGCGACTTTATCGATCGTTTCTTCAAAAGCCCACTACTTTCTGCAATATACAAAACGATACATATTATAAATACGATAGTGCATTCAAATGTAACTATTCATTTTTAACTATTTCTATATTGCTTTTGATAGTTTCTTCATCTGCAAGGTGATGCTTACCAAAACATAATCGCTGAAAACTGTTTCGTAGTGACTCCTTTGATTATCTTGGATGCTTAATTTGTGAAGTGACTATTCCTTTATTTGATCTCCTTTGGTGTCTATTACTTCGTTGATACCTTCAGTCGGCGCTTTACCACAAATTTTACTAAAATATAATTGAAAAGATACAGTATGTACGCATTGAATTGTTGATTACAAAATTAATTACTCGTTGACCTTGTTTGTATTTTTAAATACGGATGGTCAGTAAATGAGCGATTATAAAATCACCCTTGTTTTGAAAGATAATCCTAAGTTCGCTTTTTTAAAATTCCGTGATCAAAATATTTATGAACATATATTTAATGCTTTATCATATAATTTAGCTTTTAAATTTGAACGTTTATTTTTATTGCGTTGCGATGTCAGCTGCAGGTGCTTGAGTTTATGCGAACTTTATAGTAAATGTAATTGGCAGGAGAAGAAAAGACTTATTTTTAACGTTTCCTTTGTTCAAACAGTAATTTAGTCGTTGCTCTACCTTCGTATTCGCTATTTCGCAGTTTGTGTTCTCAAGAAAGCGGTGTCTAATATTTTTCATAGGTTACTGAAAAGTGATTGACCGAAGTTTTCATTTTATCCTTCGCAGATATTTATAAAGAAATTTATCGTTGAATCTTATTGAATCTCGTGTTGCTCGATTCGGTAAAATCTGATGTTATACTGTTGAAAGCATAATAATATGACCGACATTATGAGACCTGTGTCACCAATCTCACCGGTTCGTTGGGCAACGATCCAAAAACATGCACGCTGGGAACAATACATAAGTAAGTAATTATACAGTGAAACAACGTCGGTACTCATTAACTTGATTAGCTCGTGTACAAAAGATAACAAGATCTCATTTTTATCGTGCAACAATCTATACTGCAACAACGAAATACGTGTGATATGTCGAGAGGCGTATTGCAATCGAGCAATATTGCCGTTCAAATTTACTTGAAGAAATTAGTATGATTCATAAGTATAAAATAGACCAGGGGAAGCTCGGCAGGCTTGTTGCCAGCATCGAATCTCATTCAAGCGTGTGATCCTTTCATTCGTTTTCACAGTTTTATCTGTCTCCTGAAATCAGTGTTGATATAATGAGCCACCTTATTAATTAAACATTCTTACGATAACCTGAAAATTCAGAAATATACTGTTGGTATTACCACGTAGCATACTTAAAACAGACAAAATAAAAAATATTTGTAATTCCTCGAAAGACTTCAACTATTCGATTCGGATATATCGTGTACTCAGATTTTTTCCTAACGCGGCGTTTCTTCGTAATCGGTTCTGCGAGTCGACTAGGCTACTTTTCCTTCGAAACAGCATCGAGTTCCTACTTCCCTTATTATGAGAACACTCCCTCCATCTCTTGTTCCTTCTCCTTCTCCAGTCCAGTTTGCCTCCTCCAGGTTTCAATTCTCCGGTCTCAAAGCCGGTCGTTTTACCGAGAACTTTATTGACAATCAGTACCGTTTTGTCGATCGCCACACGTCCGCGCGCGCGAAAATTCTGTCTATATCGCGATCACCACGTGACACTGTATTTGATCTTATTGTAGTTTATCGATCATATCGATATCTCGGTGCAAGGAAGCGTCATCCACCGTAGAACGATATATCGTTCGCTCGATGTAATCGTTAAAACGCAAACGGGCGCTGATATATTTCCGTAGAGTGCCATTAAACTTTTCGCGTAGTCTGCAAATACGGCGAACATTACGCGTCTGCTTTTTCCGTGCGTGAAAAATTCTCGAACGGTGAACGAACCCGTGACGACATCGATTTCCTGGAAATCATCTCGCTCATAGTTTCGATTTAGCCGGAAGTACGTGTCAAAGTTCGACGTTGTGGAAACAGTGGGTGTGCCGTAGTTTGTCTCGCGATGGAAACAGGATGTGAATCGCAGGCTCAGACGACTAATCTGTACGAAGCTTACAACACCGCGAAAACGGAAACGAATCTTCTGAGTCTTGGTAAATGAACAGTTTTTTTGTGACCTGTACACGATGCTACCTTATACGCTTATCTCGAGGTTAAACAACACTCGCGTCATCGCTTTTTTCGTTATTCTGTCGCAAGATAATGAGAACATTTGGGAGTGGTACCCACTAGTGATGATATCGATTATCGATAAACTATATACATCGATACTGTCGTTAAGAGTAATAGCAGAGATCGAGATTGTCATATAAATCTTTACTCGATGCATCGTTCGATATTTTCGATCTTTGTCGGGACGATCTGTATTACGAGTTTTCTCGACATCTTTGAAGATAATCGAAGATAGTCTTCAATGTCATTTATGGTGTTAAATGACTGATTTCAGATGCATTGTTGGCGGACCTACAAAACACTGTATCATCGGAGGGCAATCATGTCGGCAGTAATGCAACTCCTGGTTACGGATCATTGAACGGTGCACGAACCACTGCGTACAGATCGTACGATAATCGAACTTCTCCCCTTCCCTCGCAGTCGGTATGTACGCTTTGTTTACGATACACTATCCATTAACAATCGAATCCGAAGAATTTGATGCGCCCGCCGTATCGATTAGGTTCGATGATTAATTGTCGGTTTAATCTTTCGATTGATCTAATCTCCGTGGATCGAGGATTAACGTCGGTTATAAATGTTCGTTACCGTTGTATAAACACTTTCACATTTAAACGACAAGTCCAGTATAGACTATAAAAAATGTCGGTAAAAAAGTACATGCGCAGTGTTACCACTTATTTCGAAGGATAAAAAGGTCTTACGCGAGTAAAATGCTTTTTAATGAAAAATTGTATCCAACTATTCGATCGAACGTTAATTCAAGAAATTACTTAAAGTCGCAACGAGTTATCGACGAATGATTAAAGGATTTATATATCGAAAGTAATAAGTTTCTGCGGCAGATGGCGGGGGTGCCACGTAGTTGTGGATAATTTATAGATAATACATATAATTTATCTGTTCCCCGTTTTTATTTCAGAACATTATTAGAAAATAATTTTTAAAGTATTAATTTAAACCTGTTACGTAACTTCAATTAACAAGATTGAATTTAACGTATCTTCTTTACTTGAAATTATATTTTCATAATAAGACAACAGAAGTATTATGAATATCAAACGTGTTCAAATATTTTTGAACAGATAAATCGATAACGATATTAAAACTAATGGATAATATCGAAAGTATACGAAGCCGATAAGGAAGAAATCCACAGACATAAGCACAATGAAGTTGGCAATATGAAATATCGATATTTTGACGACCCGCCGTTTGCGGCTCCTTTTCGAACTTCGCGCCAACTGACCTTCCTTCGGTTTTCCATAACGTCTCGAAATAAAGCGATTAGTCGCGCTGTCTCAGTTGAAAAACTATCACAATGATCTTTTCAGATCCATAAATACGAATCTTTACGATCGTATCCATTTGACAGAACAAATTCAATGAAGAATCAAAATAGTTTGTATCTTTTTACGATCAGAACATTCTATCACGTAATTCAATCGCATTTTTTTACCAATGCTTCAACGTCTAATAAAACTGAATCGATCTATTTTCTTCCAATTTGAATATGAATCAATTGGAATTGCGCAATGAATGATGGAAAAAACAGACACATTCCAGATATGCGTGTGACGCAAAGATTAGCTAAAATTAGAACCAATATTGCTTCTAAAATCGACTACTTGAATCACTCAGCCACAAAGCGGTAAATTCATGTAGGAAAAAAGAAGAAAAGAGGAAGTGGGCTCAGGTTACGTGTCGTTCCAGTTTCCAGTATTTCGGGAAATGACAAAAATTATTTCAAAGAACCGCCTCAATCATCAAATACCAATAAATAATAAACATATATTTAAACAAAATAGTTTTTATAAATTAAACTTCATCGGATAATATACACACAGTAAACGTTACAAGCTTAGATAGTTTTCTAGTCTTGCTTGAAGTTTTATCGATCCCTTTTCCCATGAAACACCTGTTACATTTCCCGCTGGACTATCGATTCGCATCTATTATTCAGCTTTTCGCCGTTAAACTTTGGCCGCTAAATTTTTCCGCTTTGTGTGAAACGACGGACTCGTGTCACGAGCCAACTGCACAGTTGAGTCGAGCCGATGCCAAAACCGATACTCTTTATAAAATACAACTTTATCCGAAAGTTAATTGCCTCGTCTGGTTACGTTATCGATCGTTTTAAACGCGTTCCCTCTTGCGCAAGCGACAGTTGGACCGTTTAACGCGTTAACAGGTATAAATTTATTCCTATATGTTACATCCTTTTTCCGTTCGATTTAACTCGTTAACGTGCTCGAGACATTGGTGTCTAATTTTGAAACTTATCCATATTCATATAATATAACAAGAATAGAGGATATCAAGATAGGGTATACAATTTTTTTATTAAGATGCAAGTTTCCTGCAATTCTGCACATTCGAAACTTCGACTTTTTCGAAGAGTTAAAGTTTTAGCCTCGCGAGAGAAACTTCCTCGACATTGGCAGTAAATATAGCAAATGTCTTTTCGAACATCCCTGGAGCTTCGTCTTATAAATAGATTTTATTGCACCTATGAACCGGCGTTACTTTATATTGCCAAAGAAAAGAAATAGTCCAGAAGAAAGATCAGTTTTCCGCGAAGCGAGGGGAAAAAAGTTGATAGGAATAACGAACACCAGGTTCTATCGTTAATTTATATCTGCCACCTGTCGCGTGTACGAAGATAAATGTTTTCACGGCTTGACGAATGTACTTGATGTAAATCATAAAACGCATGTTGCTCGTGTCAGCTTCTTGGAACGATTTCATGACCCGTCGAAACATTTCGTTGCCGCTAACCCAACGTCGAACATGCTGCTTCGAGCGAACGCTTCGCGAACGAATGTTTCATGTATGCAGCGAAGCAGTAACTTTGTTCGACAGAAATATGTCTGCTATCTTTAGAGAGATTAGAGAAGATGTATCGTTTACAAAAATTGCAAAGTATAGCCGATTGCGACGTTATACATGTCAGAGACTTGTTTGTCAAGGTTCTGCTATCTTGATTTACTCAATGTCTAGTATCGTGATACGATTATATCCTGATCGTAGCATCGTTTCTTAGTATACTTTCTAATAATAGTGTTTATTACATGTATTCTCGATACTGCAATTTAGTTCAAGTTTATCAGGATACTTTCTTTCTTCTTTCTGTAAATTAGATTTTGCACAACCCTCTTTAAATCAATCGGTTCAAGGTGTGAGCAAAGTTACCCATGAAAATTTTAGCGAATTCCTGATTAATTTGGCAGCTCGCCGTAATTGGTTGCTGTTTATTTTTTGATTCGACAGCCTTGAGGAAGAAATTGTGCAAGCTGCGAACCCGGTGTTCGGGGAACGAGTTCGAGTTCCAGTTTGAGAGATTTTAAACAGGGTTCGTTCTGCAGGATTCGATGTACCGCGACATGTTTCGCCGCTGGTGGTTCGCTATTGGATATTTTTGGAACGACAACTCACCGAGAGCAACCTAGTTTCCATCATCAGGATATTTCATTCTCGTATAACTTCTTTGTCGCAAAAAAGAGAAATCGTTTATTGATTTCCGATGATCATCGAGACTTTTCTGAACGAAGTTAAAAACGCTTTAAGTAGGGACCGTTCCACTTTACGCGAAAAGATAAGTTGAAAATGTGGGATACGATTCTGATCGTACTTGAAAATTAAAGGAGTCGCTTCTATTCGTATTTTCGACATTTTTAATATCATCGCTGGATATCCCGAAGGTATTTTGAGAGCCACCGAAGCAATTATTCGTCGGTGACATTGGACACTGTAAATTTAGCATTCTGTCCACGGTTCTTTCGGAAGCTTTCGCGAGGAGGAAAGAAAGAATGGGTCAGAGTGGATTCGAGCCGCTCGCTTTTAAATCTAGGGGAAAGAAAACAAAAAAGAAAACAACTGCTCTAGTCTCAGTGCCAAGTTCCCGCAGAACTGTATTATTTCAAAACGTGATGTCATTAGATGCTGCGCGGAATTTGTAAATACATTATCAATTAGGTGGACGCGCGGAGGACGAGGCGTCATACACTTTTAATAGAAACTCGCCCGCCAAACCGACCACCGTCCCTCGTGTTCGTTCCAAAATCATCTCTCGAATCGTTTCAAACTTGCTCTGACATGTTTATCGAATCAATCCTTTGTGTTGGCATTGGTATTGGTGATACTGGTACTAGCATTAGCATCGCTATTACGTATGTGACCTTCAGAATGCTAAATAGATCAACGTTCACGGATCAAATGTATGACCTTGTAACTTCGATGCAACCTTGAGGCTGAACACGTTAATCGAAAGATACGTAAAATAGACTATCCCAAAAATTTTTTTGGATGACGACTATTCGACTTGTCGTTGTGTATGACAAGAAGGAAACGACCTGGTAATGAATTGTTCCAGCCGACTTATCAAAATCGAGAGGCGATAGAGGAGAACATTGCCAAAAGCAGCGGTGGTGGCAAGATGCCTTCTCTGAACAATAATCTTTCAGAGTTAGACACGCTTCTTCAAGATCTCAGCAATGCTCGCTACAATGCGCACTATCAAGAACGAGGTCAGTATTATTTGAACTTTGGTCCATTGTTTGGACAACCGGGCAGCTGTTCGAGCTTCAACGAATTTCTGAAATCGTAGAAAATCGCGTATCTTCCGGAGGAATAAACGGAGACTCTAGTCCGATGCTTCGTTCTCCAAGCAGTATGTCAGCCTCCAGACCCACCGTTGATTCGTTGCTCGAAGAACTGAGCACCGCAGTACCGAACGGGTGAGCACTTTCTTCCTTAACCCTTCCGCTCTCAACAGTACACATGTATGTCAGCGAGAAAGAACATTAACGTATTAGCAATAAGGTTTTTAAGCAACTAGCGACAAGTCGTTCAACGACCAAGTCCTTGGTGTTGAGTTTGTCAATGACCTATTTTATCGCATATGCGTTAGAGCGGAAAGGTTAACAAACCAGAGATTTTTCAACCGAAAGATTCGTCGTAACGCAAACTACTTTCTTGATCGAAGGGATTATCCTCCGGACGGAAAGGTTAAAGTGACCATACAGGAAACATCGACGGAGATTCAACCCGTGTACGATGGTTATCCTTCCAGAGGACACGGTTCGTTGAATCGTAGCGAGGTACAAAGAAGTTACACGAATGGTCACACGGCCAGCAACGCAACCAAGGAACTGGACGATTTAATGGCGTCTCTGTCAGAATTCAAGGTACACACATGCATCACCGCCAGTAATATTCTTGACGATATCCTGAATGATTCGAGTAACTTTTATTACTTGAATTTGGTTACATAATATTGTCGACTTGCCTCGATAAGCACCGGGTGCAATAAGCTTTCCTAATGTTTGCTTACTATTAAAGCCACTACTATAGAATGAGAAAACAGTGCCGTTAAAACTATTCCTGCCCATTCTTGGCTCCCTAGGTTACCAAAATAACTTCCATTCCACCATCCACCGATCTACCACCACCTCTTCGTCTCTTCTTTCCCAACGTCTCCTTTCCTTCATCCACGCCGATTTTCCGCCCGGTAGGAGAGGGAAAATATAGAAGGTGGGGATTACACTGATCCACGAAATCTCTCAAAGCTTTCAGCCAGTCTGCAAGCTCGCCTGGTACCAATCGACATCTCTTCCGCGGGTCTTTATTCAAACCTTTTTCTCTCTTTCTCTCTTACACACGTTTTTACTTCCTCGATGCACCTTGACATTCTGTCTTCTAACGTTCCCCGGTGAATTAACTTGAAATTTCTGTTCCTGATCTTTCCCACTTCTTTCTGCAGTTTTGATTAAAGCTTCGATCTTTCTCCGCATTCGCTACGCTTGTTTTGGTTTACTGTTTTTTATCGATTACGAGATATTTAACCGATAACGTTTGCAGATCAACAGCGGATCCCATCAGCATCAGACGGTAACCGACTCTCCGTACGCGAAGCCCAACAAAGCGACGAAGAGTTCGCAAAGTCCGCTGCCACCTGAAGGCGCGCAAACTCGAATTCATATCACAGAGACCCACACGACACATCATTATCAGCAGCAACACGGAGAGCCGTATCCTACGCAGCCAGCGGCTCAGACGAAACAGAATCAGTTAGATTCTATGCTAGGAAACCTTCAAGCGGACATGAGTCGCCAAGGTGTAAACACTACTCAGAAGGGCTGCTGCAGCGCCTGCGAGAAGCCTATCGTGGGACAAGTACATACATCTACAGATTGCGATGGTTTGATACAGACAACTTTACATGGATAAACGCTGATACCGTCACCTGTTCTAGGTGATCACCGCGCTAGGAAAGACCTGGCACCCGGAACACTTCACCTGCACCCACTGCAACCAAGAGTTAGGCACGCGAAACTTCTTCGAGAGGGAGGGTCATCCGTACTGCGAGCCGGATTATCATAATCTTTTCTCTCCCCGTTGTGCCTACTGTAACGGTCCCATTCTGGACGTAAGGATTGATACTTTGATGTCTGGTGAGACGCGTATTCGACCAGTCTTGTTATTTTCAGAAATGCGTAACCGCTCTGGAAAAAACTTGGCACACTGAGCACTTCTTCTGCGCTCAGTGTGGCAAACAATTTGGTGAAGAGGGATTCCACGAGCGGGACGGCAAGCCGTACTGCAGAGAGGATTACTTCGACATGTTCGCTCCGAAATGCGGTGGCTGCAATCGTGCCATCATGGAGAATTACATATCGGCACTAAACAGTCAATGGCATCCGGACTGTTTCGTGTGCAGGGTAGGTTGTCGTCTCTGAGCGTTTTTCACGTATATTTTCTTCCAGCGATACTTGGGGATTAACCCTTTGGCTACAGAGGCTGACTAAACTCGTCCGTTTATGACGATCAAACGTATACGGAAGAGCGATAAATAAAAGTCAAAATTGAAGGAATTGGCAAACATGAGTATAATAGAAGGAAAAAGCTTTGTTGCTCCCGTATGTGCGCTCGTATCGCCGTAGCGAAAGGGTTAAAGTTAAATTTTCCAAAGGATGTTTCGGTTGCTCTAAACTATACCACTTGCAGGATTGTAAGAAACCAGTTTCTGGAAAGTCGTTTTATGCAATGGAGGGCAAACCCGTTTGCCCGAAATGCGTCGGTGTCGACGATGACGAAGAAGAAGAAGAAGAGGAAGCATAAACGATGCGGAAGACCGCATCGCTATGCTTCGATATCTTTATGTATAAAGCCCTTTTTTCCCCCATTGATAAATGCTGCCAGACTCCATCAATGCGGAGTCTGCCTCTTCCCCTATACATTTCACTTTTCAGCAAATGATTTGGTGTTATTTTGAAAGAAGAAAATGCATCGATGCGACCTCGTCGTTGTATATTCCGCTTTGAAATTATTGATTCGCCGAATTCATGGACATACACCCACGAACACATACACCCACACACATAGATGTACAGTACACGGAAATACAGCTAGGGCGTTGTTAATTTATAATATGCTATTCTAATGGGACGTTGATGCAGTCGAAATTTATTTATCGGCAAATTATTACACTTTCTAGTTAGGAGATTATTAATGTTATTAACAATCGATCGTACACACACTAATAGCAGTTGTTAGTATTGTATGGAAAATAAAAATAAATTAGGAAAAAAAAGAAAACAAAAAACACACACAACACAAGAGTTAGCGTTCACTGACTCTGATGCTGTCTCTTGCCATATGTCTTCGCTGAAGACAAGTATGGTTTGATGCCAGCGATGTATGTTATAATACGTGCAACTGCTGCGAGTTATTGGTATTCGCTTCACATACAGTGTATAATCGATGACGGCATAGATTATTTAGCCACGTGCCACCATGTCCGTGCTTGTTTGCTACATGCGTAGCATATTAGCGTAACTGGAATTTTCATCGGACTTAGTAATAATGTCAACGTCTTCCATTAGTCGATTATTAGAATTCAAAAATTTCGAAAATCTTATGCTCTACGTCCCTCTTGCCATGTCAGAAGGTTTAGTCTGTACTTGGAAGAGCGCGATAGAGAGGGGTAAACCCATCTAAATCTCCAGCTAGTTATGCCAATAAGATACGAACTAAATCAACGATGACTCGTTGAACAAGTCTTCTTTTCATAAATGTTTTCAAGCGATATACATGCGTCTCTTTTTTTATTTACAGGACTGTAGACAAAAATTCCAGGGAGGGTCATTCTTTGATCACGAAGGTTTGCCTTATTGTGAAACCCATTATCATGCGAAAAGAGGATCTCTGTGTGCAGGATGTCATAAACCGATTACAGGTGCACATATATTTATGACTTTAATCATTCTTTTTTCGCAGGAATTCCGTTAACAGTAAACTGTTGTTTCAGGTCGTTGCATAACCGCCATGTTCCGGAAGTTCCATCCAGAACATTTTGTATGCGCGTTTTGCTTAAAACAATTGAACAAAGGTACTTTCAAAGAACAAAATGATAAGCCGTATTGTCATGGATGTTTTGACAAGCTGTTCGGCTAAACGTTTACCGCAGAGTATTCTTATTTGTAACATAACGACGAACAAGCTGTTTTGCTTGGTATTACTTACCGTTTTATAGAATCCTGATGTACACTTGGATACAGCGCAGGTTTTTTTGCAGAAAGAAAAGTTTTTCTCCGCGTGATTTCGACTTTAAAAGACCGAATATGTAAATTTAAAAATTTTTAAATCTTCACATTTACAAATTTATTAACCAAAAATCAGGATAGAACCACTTCTCCTATGTCCTCATTTTTTTCTGAGGAAGCCTACGATGCTCCCCAATGTACGTCTATATCTGTAGGGCATGTAATCGTTTTAGTCGTTATACGAAACTATTCACGATCTAAGCTTATTATGAATCAAAACAGCCTTTAGAGATTTTTACAAATCTTAACATTAAATATGGTGCAAGAATTCACAATTATGTATCACGTATTGTCGTATATATCATCATCTTATCTGAAGGATAAGGTGACCGATTATCTGCAGTCAACTTTATCTTCCATTGTCCTTAATAAGGATTCGTTGCTAATATTTTCATGGATATTTTGTATCAAGTACTTTCATCATTGATCATACAACTTAAGGATTAATAAAAGGTGCTAACTCGTAGCTTACTTTTACTAATAATGTATTTGTTAAGAGATTTATATATAATATAATTGAGTACGATAGCTGCCAATTGAAAAATATTTATATGGAATATTAAATGGTTCTTTCATTAAATTTGATACAGGTTTATAAAATATTTATAGTTTTTAAATGGAACATATTGTGGAAGCTACTCTTTTTAAACTGTTTGTTTCTACACGATATTGAAATTACCGTTTAAGGAGCCTCTGTTAAATATATATATATGACAAATACATAACAAAATATAATAAATTAATGAATAAAAATTAAGACTTAATGCATAGCAAATTTTTTTTTAAATGCTATTTCTTTCGATTTTTCATCGAACGATGGGAAACATAGGAATATAAATAATGAGTACGAAGTAGAGATATATCATTTATTTGGCATACTGTTTCTTAACACAGTAATCCTCAATTTGTTATTGTTCGATAAACATTTAATATGTATTATATACATTAACATCTAATTATTCCAGACATGTGTTTAAAAAAAAATTATTTATAAATAGTGAGTGTCGTTTTTCGGAACAAATACAATATACAAATACGAATATAAAAATACATAGATAATTGTATACTAAATACGAGTGCTACCAGTTCATGAAAAATGAGCGATACCTCGTCACAATTTGTGCTATATCGTTCTCTTTAAAGTACTTAAGCTCAGAACGAATAAAACCAAAAATCGAATGACGCTCGAAAGTATGTCATCTTATGCAAGCATGGTTAACGTATTATCACAGATAACGATTGTGTCTTTTCCCTACTGACACTGTCAGGCTAGCGTAGGAAATAATTCTGTAAAACTTTCGTGCCAAAGGTCTGTTAAGTTTACGTTACATTTTTCATTACGTACATCGGGTGTTGGAGAACCATGCGATTCATATCCGCAATCGGATGCACTGGAATCTAACGCGATGCTAGTATCCACTGTAACATTAGTGTCCATATCTTCGGAATGTATGCTTGACGGAGACATTGAATCCATGCTTGTGTAAGACGGCGACAACTGATTGGAGTAACAATTCGGTGTCAGATGCGACGATTCCTCGATCGAGGAAACACCATCCGTGACCACTTCTTGAACACATTCTTGAATACCCACGCTGCTGTCGTCTCCAGGATAAATAATGGTTACAGAATTGGTAGCTTCATCGTAGGTGCCGTAAATTGTGTCTAAATCGTGTGTATCCATTTCTTGTTTTACTTCAATTTCTGGTTTTACTGATATAGGTGCGTTTGCGTTTGTTGTAACGTAAGATGCAGAGGCTGTGCTAGTAACAGAATGCCATGATTGGTGCGTACTTATGCTTCTAGGGGTTCTACCGGTTTCCACATCTTCTGATGTCTTCCCCACCACTCCTTTCGAATGGCCACATTTCTCACCGGTACTTTCCTGGACCTATGCAAGACACAATCATCATGCCATTAACAAAAGGAAGTCTGAATTGTAAATTAACAATATTAATCTAGAAACGAATGAAATGTTTAGCGATAATCAGAGACTTCTGACGCGAAATTTGATGTTTTAAAAAATCATGGTATCATAATCTTTCAAACAATTCATTCATTCCTGTAATGTAAACACAATTATTTTTAACAAATTTATTCGCGAGTCATCAAAGTACTCACTTGTTCATTTGTTCTATGAGAATTTGCTTCCACTTCTGCGGTAACTTCTCGCAAAAGACTCTCTGCAAGTTCTTCAAGTCGTTCGATGTATTCGTCTCCTTGGAGGTCGCCAAACAATTCTTCAAGAGGAGGTAGATGGTCAATATCTTCAGGAGAATTGCTGCTCCTGGGGTTAGTGTCAGAGACGGTGCCAGCTGTACTGTTCCACCCTGCTGCAGAGGGTGAGAGGGGGATACTGTAGATCCCAGCGAGGACACACTACAGCCGACACGACTCTGGCACATAGAACAAACAAATTCCCCTGAATTCTTTGCATCTTTATCCTTCCTCAATCTTTTTGTTTCGGTGGCCAACAATTCATTCTGTGATCTGAGCATAGCACATTCCTGAGATAACAATTCATTTTGTTCCCTCAAAGTTCTAACAGTCTCTTCCAACTCGTCGAGTTTGGCCTTTTTACGGTCCCTAGAAGTTTGAGCCGCTACCCTGTTCTTCAATTTTCTGTAAAAAGAAGAAACTTTGCAGATCTGAGAATATCCATATTGTGCATTATATACAGAATATCAACATACTTCCTCTGTAGCTTTTCTTCCCATGTCAAGTGGTCCAGTCGTCGTTTCTTTCCACGAACGCAAACATCCGTTTTGAATATCGCACTTTCATCCTGCATTTCATCATGCTTCGCTATCTTTTTCGGTTCCATTTTTACTTTATCGCTCAACGCGGATGTCGTGAAATGAAATTTCGACACGGATTTTGGAAATTCATTGACCGAAATGACGCCAGGTGCTTTTGACAAGCCCTTAGGCAAAGTGATGATAACGCTTTTCAATACGCTCATAATCTGCCATTCAATACGGAATGAATTTACTATTATCACTTGTTCTATGAAGTCACTGGCCGATCTCTTGCCGCTGTTCTCTTTCCTCGAGACGCCGAATCACAACTGATCGGAAACATAACACTGCTTGGCAAGAAATTTCATGCACTTTTACTAGCTGATGTAATCAAACTGGCATACTGCAGCATATGACCGGGGATGGAACATCCTAGAAATACGGCGTACTCCAACTTACGATGTGACTGGTTGAAACGCGAAACGTTACATGTGGTGTACCGTTATTGGCTGCCACGTTGCGCTTCTTCCCATACTTGTTTACCACCACCATCGACAAATAATTGCATGCTCCGACTGACGTCATTCTCTACGGTACTATCATATTCTTTTACGCGATTTCCACCTCCTGCAACGATACCGCATACATGTACAGTGGTGATACTCCGTATGAATCATTTAACGTTTAACTTTTCAGGAATTTCCTAATTGGAAAGTTGATTTTATGATGCTATGAGTATATGAACAAAAATTTGTCCCGTTTAAATACGTTTTAGTGTAATGTGAAATTTAAAAGAAAATCGATGAAAAAACTTAAAGAAATATTTAATAGGATTTATTTTTTCAACACTTTAATCTTGTAAGCAAATCGTTTTCGGGTTTTTCTTTATTTATTACTTTCATACATAAAATTTTTATAAGTGAATGAATAGCGAACGCAAGAATTTGAAAATCGAAGTTGTTACATTGTTCAATTCATTAGCGACCTCTTCTAATACTTGGTTACGTAGTAGCAAGCGAATCGGTAATCTGTTTTACCAACAGAAAGTAAATGAGAACATGTCCAAAATTTATTGTCATAGACTATAAAAAATTTGGTAAATAATAGCAACACTTATTATTTACGCAATAAATGCATCATGTGCCATGGCACACATTGCATATGATATAATATTCAATATATATTAATACATATAAAAGTAAATGTTAAATTTTTGAATTATACAAGTTACATTTTGTGAAGAAAATTAAAATTCGTTGATCAACGAAGCGGGTGGGTATACGCGATCAGACAAGAATACAAGAAGTTCCCTTTCTACTTGTCGTTTCGCAAGTTCACCAGACAAAATTTTCGCTCGATGAGAATAAAATTCGTCGTTCACGTTGGCCAGCCCGCGCCTCGCGATTCATAGATATCAGACATAAACCGACGAAATCGACCACGCTGCGAAGGAAGCAGCGGGGAGAGCAAGAAAGAAATAGGGTGAGGAAGAGGGCGTTGCAAAATGTCGAAAGCAGACACGAGGGTTCGACGGGAAGTCGGCTTTCAGTCGCAGCTCGGCAGTCTACACGAGACGATCGAGTTACGTTTAGTAGGGTGCGTTCAACGTGCATATACGCGTACAGCGCATGTATTGGTGCTCATAGGCGCAGTCTCGCGTGAGTACGCGTAACCGATACGCCGGACGAGTTGACACACGCGCAGCAATGGCGTACCCCCTCGAAGAAGCCTGAACATGTTCTCGTCGAATATTTCTTCGTGTCACTGTGCGTGGTGCGCGTGAAAGGGACGAATAATCGTAATAAAATAGGGCACGCGTGAGACGAGGATAGATACGCGAAACGACACCGGGCGTGTACGATCTTACAGGCTCGAAACGGAAGAAGGAACGTTACGCCCAGCTAGAACATAGGAGTCCATCGCCGACTCCGATACACGTCGAGTATCCGTTCTCACGGGTCGTTTACGAAAAAACTTGGCCAAGCGGAAATTGATAAGCGACATCCTGGCGTCGAACGCGAATGCGATGCACGGATGTGGCCGTCGGGGTAACAGCGTTCGACGGGGTTTGTGACCGAGTGAAGTGGATTGCTACGTGCGCAAGAGAGAAGAGGGAGGAAAAAAATACGTGTCAGTAGAGAAGCCGAAAGAGAAGGAATCCGGAACGGGAGAGATCGTCGAATTCGTACTCGTCGTAAGCGTTTTACTTGGACTTTTATCCTTCCCTCTGTCGAAATATGCGATAACGCTCCTTTGCCCGCGTTCATCGGGGGCTTCCCTTTCGAGGGCTTTCCTCGGTGTTGGATATACCTGCTTGGTCCAACCCTTGGATAAGGCGAGCCTCTCGCAGCGATGAACCGTATTCATTTCCGTCTAGTTCGAAGATGCATTCGTGACGGCGAGCAGCGCAGGAACTGATACGGTCCGCATCGCGGATACGAGAAGAAAACGAAGAAACAAAGGAGAGGGTGGTCGAGTGGTTGGAAAAGAGGAAATTGCCGTCTGAACACTGGGCGAGACGGAGCGCGGCTCGTTATTAGGGAGAATAATCGCGAGGATCCCACGAAATGAGAGCCTAGCGTTCGAGGTGGGTTGTTCGTCAGCGGGCGCACGAGAAGGGACGGTTCGGCGGCGGAAGCCCGGATAGTAGGAGGTTTCCAACATGGCCGCCGCCTGTTACGAAAAGGAAGTGGTGGTAGGTGCCGCTATGCACGGACACGGTCATCACCATCACCACCACCATCATCACCACCATCATCATCATCATCACGGAATAGCCGGCG